ATGTTTCATGTTGTGTAGGATTTTGATGAAGTTTCTCTATAATTACTCCCAAATTTCATAGGGTGTTTCCCTACCCCTGCCATCCCAGGGACCTTCAGTCCTGAGCAATTGAGAACTGGTAGGGGTCTGGAGGGAATTTTGAACATAGATGTGCCTTCACCTGGGAACCTGGGGCTGGTACTTGCAGGCTAGACAGTCAGCATAGATGGAAGCTTAACTCAGACCGTAGAGCTGGCATCAGCAGAACATGAGCATTCGTTGGGGTTTGGGTTGAATGTATGACCAGAGTAAGGCCTTGAATCAGCTTGAGGGGGCGGCCAAAAAATGAAGATGGGTTAAGAGAACTAAAACTAGAGAAAACAAATGTGATCATTTTCATTCCCACTTAAAATACAGATAGATGAAAACTTGTAGTATGTGAATGAGGAGAAAGTTGGCTGGGCATTAGAATGGGGGCAGGCTTGGGAAAGAAAGGGGTGTTTGCTGGGGAGCAACTGGTTAGTGGGAAGATGCTGAGTTTGCCAGTGCTCATTAGTAATCACCCAGGAATGGCAGCGTGGCCTCACACTGTTCCTTTCCAGAGGGGGACATGACTGAACAAGCTTGATGCCAGATTCTGTATTTTTAATATATATATATATATACATATATATATATATACATATATATATAGGTAAAGGTAAAGGCCCTCCCGTTGTTCATCGATTTGCTCAAGCGGGCCCAGTAACGTCTCCATTGGAGACTTTGTTGTTACTGTGTTTGGCATACCGAATACGTCACGGGGAGCTTGCCAGGCTCTGCCGTGCGGGCGAGATACTCTCGGCAGCTTGCCGGGCTCTCCGAGAGGGGCAGAGAAATCGAACTCGGGTCGACCATGTTGGCTGTGTGCAAGGCAAACGCCCTACCGCTGTGCTATCGCTCCAGCGATGTATATATTCTGTGTTTATAAAGGTAAAAGGCCCTCCCGTTGATCGTCGATTTGCTCGAGCGGGCCCAGTAACGTCTCCATTGGAGACTTTGTTGTTACTGTGTTTGGCATATCGAATACTCTCGGTAGCTTGCCGGGCTCTCCGAGAGGGGCGGAGGAATCGAACTCGGGTCGGCCATGTTGGCCGCTTGCAAGGCGAACGCCCTACCCGCTGTGCTATCGCTCCAGCCCTGTTAATAATGATTTCCCATGCACATAATTCCGACACCATATCCATCACCAGTGTACCCACCTTCCTCCCCCAGAACCCCAATACCCCTCCCTTTTCACCCTCTCCAACTCAATTGTATGGATCAGTTCTGCTGTTGTGTTGCCTTTGATTCTTTGTTGCTGCCTTGCTATGTGTCTTTAAGCATATGAGGGAAATTGTTCTGTGTGTATCCCTTTCCTTCTAACTGACTTCACTCTGCATAATATCCTCTAGTTCTGCATGATTTGTTCTTTCTTAGAGCTTCATAGCATTTCATTGTGCATATATATCACAACATTTTGTTTTTTGGCTTTTTGGGTCACACCTGGTGATGATCAGGGGTTAGTCCTGGCCCTGTACTCAGGAATTACCCTTGGTGGTTCTCGAGGGAACATATGGGATGCTAGGGATCAAACCCGGGTCAGCCATGTGCAAGACAAATTCCCTACCTGCTGTACCATCACTTTGACCCCTTATACCACAACTTTTTGATTCATTCATCCATAGTTGAGCATTTGGGTTCTTTTCATATGTTGCCTATTGTACAAAGTACACAATAGACATAGATGTGCATATATTTTTTCAAATTAATATTTTTGTGTTTGGTGGATAGATGCCCCCCAAACCCACTGGTGTCACTGAGTTATCAGGGCATTCTATTCCTATTTCTTGGAGAGATCTCCATCTTGCTTTCCGTAGATGAAAATTCCACTGTTGCACCAGATGACCAACAGTGGATGAGGTTTCCTTTCTCACCAAAACCCTGCCAAAATGGCTGTTTTCAGACTTTCTGATATGTGCTAGTCTCACTGTCATGAGATGATATCTCAATGTTGTTTTGATTTGTATTTCCCTAATTATGAGTGGTGATGAGCACTGTTAAACATCTACTTGTTAAACATTTATATGTCTTCTTTGGGAAAGTTTAACTCCTGATTCTTTATGTGTGTGTGTGTGTGTGTGTGTGTGTGTGTGTGTGTGTGCATGCGCGCGCGGGAGGTGGGGGTGGGGGCTACACCCAGTGATGCTCAGGACTTACTCTTGGCTCTGTGCTCAGGGGTCACTATTAGCGGGCTTAGGGGACCATATGGGGTCCTGGGTATCGAACCTGGGTCATTCACATGCAAGACAAATACCCTACCGGCTATACTATCACTCAGACCCCTGACTCCTGATTCTTTTTTTTTTTCTTTTTGGGTCACACCCGGCATTGCACAGGGGTAATTCCTGATTCATGCATTCAGGAATTACTCCTGGAGGTGCTCAGGGGGACCATGTGGGATGCTGGGGATCGAACTCAGGTCGGCTGCATGCATGGCATGTGCTGTCGTTCCAGCCCCTGACTCCTGATTCTTAACAGCTTCTGGGTTCTATTTTTATTACATTGACGAAGACAATTATTTTCTCCCTTCCTTCCTTTTCTCCCCTCTCCCCTCCTCCCTCCCTCCCTCCCTCCCTCCCTTCCTTCCTTCCTTCCTTCCTTCCTTCCTTCCTTCCTTCCTCCCATTCTTCCTCTCCTCTTCCACTTTATCACCTCTTCCCTCCCTTTCCCTTTCACTCTTCCCCTTCCCTTCCTTTTTTTTTTCTTCTTTTTGGGTCACACCTGGTGATGCACAGGAGTTACTCCTGGCTCGTGCACTCAGGAATTACTCCTGGCAGTGCTCAGGGGACCATATGGGATGCTGGGAATCGAACCCAGGTTGGCCGTGTGCAAGGAAAATGCCTTACCCACTGTACTATTGCTCCAGCCCTCCTTCCCTTCCTTTTTCTCTTTTCTCTTTCCCTTTCTTTCCCTTTGTCCTCCCTCTCTCTGTTTAGGGGCCACACTCAGCTGTGAACCTACCTGGTTTGTTCTCTGGTCGTGGGTGAGCAGCTGTGGGTAAGGATCTGAGAGCTGGTGCCAGCCAGACAGTGTGGCCAGTGAATTTCAGCCTCCTGCACATGGGCCTGTGTTACCACCAGCTGCTGCTGCATTCTCCTGGGAAGGAAAAGGTCCTCGTGCCAAGAGGTGTGGGGACAGAGATATAATAATTTCTTGATGTGGCTCTCACACTGGTTCTGTTCTCTTCCTGTGTCCCCGACCTATTTCCTACAATGGCGCCACCATAGGCTGGGTGGACACAGGCGTCTCTCCAGGGCTGCCTAGAACCGCAGGGGTCCTGAAAACCATTTTTCTTGGTTTTTGTTTTGTTTTGTTTTTAAGGCCACTCCTGGCAGTGGCCTACTACGTAGGGCTTACTCCTGGCTCTGTGCTCAGAGGTCATTCCTGGCCAGGCTCAGGAACCAGATGTGGTGCCAGGGATCGACCCACTGCACAAGGCAAGTGCCTTAACCTCTGTACTATCTCCCCGGCCTTGAAAACCACTTTTTGTTGCACCTCCAAAGTAGCTGTGGCCAGCTCTGAGGTCTGTCTCCACTTAATTGTTTGTTTGTTCTGTTGACCACACCCAGTGGTGTTCAAGGGCTACTCCTGGCTTGGTGCTAGGGGATCATGTGGCGCTTGGAATCCCACTCTGGCTTCCTGTGTGCAAAGCCTGTTAGAAGCCCACTGAGCTTTCTCTCTTGCCCTTCACATTGTTTAGTCTTTCTTGTTCTGTGCACTTGCCCTCAGGAACAGTCTCAACGCTTCCCTCCACCTTCCTGTTCCCAAGACCCTTTGTAATTGTCTCCCCATTACTCTATTCTTCTTTCTCAGACCACTCACTACATGCTGCTGTTGGAGCAAAGCAGCGAGGCTCTCTCTCTCTCTCTTTCTCTCTCTCCCTCTCTCTCTCCTTCCTTCCTTCCTTCCTTCCTTCCTTCCTTCCTTCCTTCCTTTCTTTCTTTTTGCTGTTTGGGTCACACCTGGCGACGCACAGGGGTTACTCCTGGTTTTACACTCAGGAATTACTCCTAGAGGTGCTCGGGGGACCATATGGGATGTTGGGAATCGAACCCAGGGTGGCTGCATGCATGGAAAATGCCCTACCTGCTGTGCTATTGCTCCAGCCCCAGCAATGGGGCTTTCTTGTCCACATGTTTATCCCCAATGCCCAGACTTGTCCGGCTCTTCAAATATTTACGTAAAGCTTGTGTTTTCTTCATTTTCATAAAGTGTTAAATCATGTGTTTGGACCTAATTTCTTTAGGTCAGTGAATGAAGACAGATTTATTGATTTTTTGGGGGGGGTTTGTTTTGTTTTGGGGCCACACCCAGCAGTGTTCAGGGCTTACTCCTGGCTCTGTGCTCGTGAATTATTCCTGGTGGGCTTGGGAGACCACAGGTTGACCATGTGCAAGGCAAGTGCCCTATCCACTGTCCTAGTGCTCCAGCTCTGGATTTAGTTTTAGAGCTCTTGAGATCAAAGCATTGGTGCCCAGTGCTCAAGTTTGTCTTGGCACAGGGATGTGACTCAGCTGTAGAACACTTGCCGGCAGGTGTGAGGTGAGGGTTCAATCCCTGACACTGCTAAAATGATTTTTTCTTTTAAAACTTCATTCTGCATTACTGGAGGAATAGTATAGCATGTAAATCACTCACGTTGCACACAGAAGACCCAGCACCACAGACAATCCCCCAGGCCCCATCAGGAATGATCCCTGATTGCAGAGCTAGGAGTAAGCCCCAAGCATTGCTGGGTGTGGCCAAAATAAAAAATAAATAAAAATTCATCTTTGATAGATCTGGAAGTCACTAGCAAGTCCTGGCAGGGGGCCTCCTGTCCCCCATCCCACGCTACTCCCCACATAATCCTGGGTGAGGTTAGAAGGACAGAATCATAGAAGATGAAGCACCAATACTTTTTCTTTCCCACGCATTGATACAAGTGTTTTTCCTCACAGAAATGGCTTCCACTTTTAACCCCCGAGAATGCAAGCTGTCCAAAAAAGAAGGACAAAGCTATGGCTTCTTTCTGCGAATTGAGAAGGACATAGACGGCCACCTGGTCCGGCTGGTGGAGAAGGACAGCCCTGCAGAGAAGGCAGGCCTGCAGGATGGAGACAGGGTTCTCAGGATCAACGGCGTCTTTGTGGACAAGGAGGAGCACGTGCAGGTGACCAGGACACTGGCTGTCCTTGTTCCCACATCTGTCAGATCCCCACATCTTTACTGATCATTGTGTGGGACACAGGGAAGATTTTCTAGCTGCCAATCGTGAAGGAGCTGTACTTTCTGTACAGTATGACTACACTTTCTGCCAGAAAATAGAATTTTCTACAGTTATCCAAGAGCATCAGCATTGTCTCTAGATTTAATATGATTGCAGGTTTATGCCAGGCAATGCCATCTCGGTTGTTCTTGCTGAAACCTCATCGTAGCTCTCAACATGTACATTTTCCACTTCATAGATGGGGAGGTAGCTAAGATGTTTGTGCATGGAATTTGTGGGAAGGGCCAATCTTTGGCCTATTCAACCACCACATGGGAACTTTTCATTACCTGGAATGTCTCCAGAGACCCAGAGGACTGGTGATGTGTGAGAATTTCTCTCTAGGAAGAGCTGATCTTAATTGGCATCCTCTGGGCAAGCTTGGGCCAGATTCCAGATTCCAGCCTGAGTCTGACCTTTCCCTGGGCCAGAGAGGGCTTTGGAGGGCTGGGCCTGGTCCACACCAACTGGCGGATATCTGGAGCAGGGACCATCTTCCCTGGCCGTGGACAGTGGGTCATGGGTGGACATGATCTTCCTTTGTCTTCTAGGTTGTGGATCTGGTCCGCAAGAGTGGGAACTCCGTGACTTTCCTGGTTCTGGACGGCAGGTCCTATGAGAAAGCCGTAAAGGCGCAGGTGGACTTGAAGGAGCTGGAGTATGGCGAGAAGGAGCCGAGTGTGGTGGATGGTGAGAGGCCGGCCCCGGTGTTGAATGGAGCCGTGCAGACGTGGGCACAGCCTCGCCTCTGCTACCTGGTGAAGGCGGGGAGCAGCTATGGGTTCTCTCTCAAAACTGTTCAAGGTGAGCTGGGTGGGGGGCTTTGGCCACTCTCCTGAAGAAACAACTTACTGTTAATGGCCTAAAACATTAAAAAAATATATTTTTATATAAAGTGTATTTTATATTTATATAAAATACACACAATATTTCTATAAAACATATACAATATAATATAATTTATATATATTTTTTCTTTTTGAGGTCACATTGGTTTAGCCACAATGCAATATTTTCATCAGAGCATGGCTTTTGGCTGAGTTAGAGTTTGTGTTCTAAGTTCTGGAGAGAGACAGGAACTCTCCTCTCCTACAACATGTTGTGTTTTTTTTTTTTTAAATTAATTTGTCACTGAGTTATATAATATTATAGAATTTTAGTGGCAGAGATTTACACCTCTTTATGTGTTTTTGGTTTTGTTTGTTTGTTTTGAGGCCACACCTGACAGTGCTCAGGTCTTACTCCTGGCTCTGTACTCCTGCTGGGATTTGGGGACCATATGGGGTGCTGGGGATTGAACCCAGGTCAGCTGTTGGGAAGTGCAAGTACCCTACCACTGTATCTTTCTGGACAAAAAGAATTTTTTTCCCCTCCATAACTGTTATAGGACAAAGTAACAGAAGCACTGCTGTGTTTAAGAAAGTAGAGTTTAAGTTACTGTCATTCCTTACTATTATTCTCCATCAAGAAACCATCTTTTTTCTAGATAAAAAAATTAATATCTTGAAAGAATTTGCAGCATTAATTTTTCTGGGGGGGTGAGAGAATCCCAAGTGGTGCTGGGGGCCCCCCTCAGCGATGCTCAGCCCACTGAGCCTGGTTAATCTGAGGGCCTGATGGTATGAAGCTACTTGGGGCCACAGTGCCAGGATAACCCTTGGTACCCTGCGGTGCTGGGGATCACAAGGTTACACTCAGTCATGCTCAGGGGACCATCTGGTGATGGGGATCAAATTAGGATTGCTGCATGTGAGGAAAGTGCCTTCACTCCTGTGCTACAACTCAGGCCGCAGTATTGCTTCTGTGTGTGTATGTGTGTGTGTGTTTAAATCTCACTGATGGCATTCAACTCTGTGCTCTAGATCAGTCCTACCACTTCTTCTTTTTTTTTTTTTCTTTTTGGGTCACACCTGGCGATCACAGGGGTTACTTCTGGCTCTGCACTCTGCACTCAGGAGTTACTCCTGGTGGTGCTCGGGGGACAATATGTGATGCTGGGAATCGAACCTGGTTTGGCCATGTGCAAGGCAAATGCCCTACCTGCTGTGCTATCTCTCCAGCCCCAGTCCTACCACTTCTTGGGGAACAAAGCAGTACTTGGGTCGGTCATATGACCCCATGGTGGCCTTTCTTCAGATGCACCTAACTGCACCCCCCCAGTCACCCTACCCAGACTTATCATCTGTGTCTAAGGGTACTCAGCTCTTTCTCCTTGCATTCTGCTCTCCTTAGCGGACACAAGTGAGGTTTATTGACTCCACTGGTGTGTGCTAATCCATCAATATGAATTTAAGAGGACAGAATTAAGTGGATGTCTTCATTATCCAAATGCAAAGAGAACATGGCAGCATGATGCAGCTTGGCGTGGTTTGATATGTTCTGGTCCAAGAGGCCAGAGCTACCTGAAATTTTTTCCTTGTACTCAGTTGGGCTTAGAAACTCTATCAGAACTAGGGGCTAGAGTGGTGTTCATGCCCACTTCCGTCAGCTTAATCAGTGGTTGAATAAATAACAGTATACTCCTACTTAAAGAAAAAAAAAGAAGAAGAACTAGGGGCTGAAGAGATAGTACAGAGGAAGGCTGTACTATCTTTGCTTGTGGCCAACTTGGATTTATCCCTGACATCCCATATGGTCCTCTGAGGACCCAGCTGGAGTGATCCCTAAGCGCAGAGCCAGGAGTAAGCCCTGAGCACAGCAAAGTGTGGTCCTATTTATTCTCCCCCTACCCCCCCCCCCCACAAAAAACAGCAGAAATTCTATAAAGACTAACAAAGTACTGAGCATGGTTTCAGGCTTTGAGCTAGAGGCAATGCTTGGAATTCTAGATCAGAAGTCAAAGCTTCCCATGATCATGAAAAAACTCTTGTTGGATGTGTAATGGAGTTATAATGCTTGTCTTCATTCCTATTCCCTTTCAGGCAAAAAGGGAGTGTACATGACAGACATAGTACCCCAGGGTGTGGCCATGAAGGCTGGTGTCCTGGCCGATGATCATGTGCTTGAAGTGAACGGGGAAAATGTCGAAGCCAGCAGCCACGAGGAAGTGGTTGAAAAGGTATCTCCCAAAGGGACTTCACTTTGGTTTGGTTTTTGTTTGTTTATTTTGACTTCTGGGCCACATGGAAGTGCTTAGGACTTACCCTTGACTGTATTGAGTCACTCCTGGAGGTGCTTGGGGGTCTTTAGGTGGTGCCAGGGACTGAGCGGTCCTGATGCAAGGCGAGCATCTTCCCTATTGTACTGTCTCTATTATCCTCAACTCTGTATTTGAGGGTGACCTGTGGGTCTGTTGTAGGTGAAGAAGGCAGGAAGCCGGGTCATGTTCCTGCTGTTGGACAAGGAAACAGACCGGTGCCATAGTGAGCAGAAGATCCAGTTCAAGAGGGAAACAGCCAGCTTGAAGCTGCTGCCTCGGCAGCCCCGACTTGTGGAGATGAAGAAGGGAGCCAATGGCTATGGCTTCTACCTGAGGGCAGGCCCAGACCAGAAGGGTAAGATACAAGCAGAGTAGGAAGCTAAGCAGTGAGGTTACCTCCTGCATCAGGCCTCATCCCGTGGGCCCTCCAACTCCCACCATAAGGGGCACAGTAAGAAACTAGAAGACGTGATGAAGTCAATTTCCATGACACATGGAGGTCTATGATGGATAACCCAATTTCCAGAGGCAGAATTTGGGTTCTGGGCCAGAGTATGCTGGCTATTTGGCTTTTTGGGAGACAATAACTCTAATGTGTAACCTTGGTTATTTTCATGATGTAAGTATGTCTGACCTTAAACTACCAGTATGATAGTAAGTATGATAGCAAGTCTATCAAATGCAAATATGAAGTGTTGTATAGAACTGGCTCTCCTTAGCTGTGTGATGGGCCAGCTCCAGCACAATGCAGGTGAGAGGAAAAATGTGGGTCAGATTCTGGACTTCAAACAAAATGAGGTAACTTCTGATTCCCTCAAAGAGTTAAAGCCCTCCACGGGAAAATGAGTACATGACACGTTGTGGGCTTGGACCATGCAGATTATTCTTCACCTAGAAGTGGTATCTTACCTAGAAGTGGTATCTTATCTTTTCATTTTGTGTGTTCATCAGCTGTGTGGTAGATTTTATGTGAAAATCTCCTTTTGGGCATTTGAAAATATCAAGTGAATCTAATTCTTCATCCAGGATCCTCCCATTTAGTACAGAGATAAGACAAATGCCATAACTGGAGGTAAAAGGTGAGAGATTCCCTAACACAGGCATGAAGTACTATGAAACTTCCCTAAGAAGGAGCAGGAAGACTTCATACGAGAAGTGAGTCTTGAGTTCAGACTTCGCAGTAGGAATAGAATTGGGAAAGATCACTGGAACAAGAAGGCCCATTTCAGGGAGGCAGGAGTTGTGTCACAAAGCAGGGAGTCAGGCAGTCTAGCTGACAATGAATAGATTTGGTGCTTGAAACCACCTTAGAGAGGGAGGCTGGAGAGAGATGATGAAGGGCCTTCTATCCCAGGTGAGGTGTTTGGACTCAGTTTGTACTTGGCAGGAAGTTAAAGGACCTTTGAGCAGTGTGCGTGAAAAGAAAAATCTCAAGTCTACAGTGTCTTGAGGCTTGATACTGAGAGAAAACTCAGTACTCAATGACTCTGTATAATTTTGCAAAAAGAATTGCTGAGATCAAGAGTTAGAGAAGAGATAGACTCTGCAGCCGAACAGTTCATTGTGGAGTAATGGATCAAAACCTGGACTCTTTTATTTCCAGGCCCATGCTCTGCTCTGCTTGGGGAGAGACTACATTAGGATGAATCTGAAGGCAGGCCAGTGTGAGAGAGGAACCCCAGGTCAGGGTTAGGGACAGGGTGAGGGCCTTACAAAGGCTTGCTGGATGTTTCCATAGGTTTCTAGGCAGGAGGTGAGTAGACAAACTGTGGTGATTGTTATTGTTGTTGTTTTTGGGTCACATCCAGTGATGCTCACTGATTACTCCTGGCTGTGTTTGGCGGACTGTATAGGATGCTGGGGGTTGAACCTAGATTGACTATGTGCAATGCAAGTTCCCTACCCACTATCTATCTCTCAGGCCTGATACAAACTGTATTGAGGGTAGAGGGAGAGGGTTTTGGGGCAGTCAGGCTGGAGACAGCCAGTAGTTAGCTAGAAAAGTGAAACTGGAGCTTTTTAAAACATCCTAAGGAACAAACTAAAACTAAAACAGAAAACCTAATTATATGAAAGGACTAGGGAGGTGATGCCTGGCCTGTAGGAGGGCTGGGCTCCAAATCTAGCATCCCGGGTGACCCCTGATACCTCCAGGTGTGGTCCACAAAATGAAACAAAGCATGAAAGAGCAGAAGGCATAAAAAAAGAGAGTTGACGTTAGGCAGAAGATAGTCAGACACAGCCTAGCCTCTCAGTGGATACACACAAATGCAGTCACACTTGAACATACTCACCTGCTTGTAAAATGCTAGCATGGTTTCTGAAGGTCTAAATTCTTGGGTTTTGCTCTTCATTCTTTACCACCCTGCCTGTTTTTGGGGGGGCCTTCTCGAACACTCCTGGTGATACTCCACATGGCTGTGGACCAGTGATGCAGGGCTTGACTGGACTGTGGGCCACCAGGGCTAACTTGGTGGATTGGAGATGTGGTGGTGGTGGGGGGTTTAACTCAAGCCCTAAATCATGCAAGGCATGTGCTTCACCCCTTTGAGCTATCTTCCCCCCAACTGTTTTTTTTGTGGCTTAGCTCCAGCATAATGTGTATGAAGCTAAGTTTGTAGCTGCTTTCCTGGACCCTGCCAGCCTATAATGCTCACCATGCTGCTGTTAAACATGCTTCATAACATGTGATTGACGAAAGGGGTTCTTTCGGGATCCCTTGCTTGTGAACAGCTGGATTTGTTCCTGGAGTGAGTTTGGAGCAGGAAAGGAGGCTCAATAGGGGCCAGTGGCAGGGATGGGAATTGTATTTTCCTTTCTGCTTCCTTGGGGCCTTGGGCTCTAGCAGAAATTCCATTTGTGTGTATGTGTGTGTGTGTTTCTGGGGATGGGTAGGTGAAATCATCAAAGACATCGATGCAGGAAGCCCTGCTGAGGAAGCCGGCTTGAAGAGCAATGATCTGCTGGTGGCTGTCAATGGGGAGTCTGTGGAATCCCTCGACCATGACAGTGTGGTGGAGATGATCAGGAAGGGCGGAGACCAGACATCACTGCTGGTGATGGACAAAGAGACTGAGAGCATGTTTCGACTGGTAAGTGGCCAAGGGGCATCATCATCAGCTGGGAGTTGAACCAGGGTGTAGCCTCCTGCAAGGCAAGTGCCTCCCCGCCTATACCATCTCTTCTGCCTCTGAATTTTGTTTTTGGACCAATGCCCAGCAGTGTTCAGGGACTACTCCCAACTCTGTGCTCAGGGGTTGCTCTTAGTAGTACTTGGGGGACCATGTGGTGTTGGGGATTAGACCCGGGATTGGTGACTTAACCTCTGTGGTATCTTTCCAGTCCCTTGATCAGATGATTAGAGCTTTCTGAAAAGCATCTGTTTTGTTGCATTGGCACAAAGATGAACAAAGATGTTTTATATGGCACACAAGGATTCAAAAGTGTGTAGCTGACACAGAAGGAGGAATATTAGACCCTTAGCCACCCCTTTTGAAAATTGGCTTATAATGTTGTATTAGTTTCAGTTGTACAACATAATGCTTTGACATTTGTATATATTGGGAAATAACACATCTACTTAACATCAGCCATGCTGCATAGTTACTTTTGTTTTGAGCGGGGGAACACCCAGTGCTGCTTGGGGTTTATTTATGGCTCTGTGCTCAGGGATGACTCTTGATGTGTCTCAAGGGGACCATATGGAGTTCAAAACAAGTTCCCTATCCACTGTACTACCTTTCTAGCCCCCTGTGATGAGAACTTTTAAGAGCTACTTGTGGAGCCAGATCAGTGACAGATTTTTTAAAAAGGTATTCATATTTATTTATTTATTTATTTATTTATACTTGTGGAGCCAGATCAGTGACAGATTTTTTTAAAAGATATTCATATTTATTTATTTATTTATTTATTTATGTGGCACAGCTGGCAATGCACAGGGGTTTCTCCTGGCTCTGCACTGTGCTATTGCTCCAGCCCCAGAACAGTGACAGATTTTATTATTATTTTTATTTATTTTTTTTGGGGGGGGGCGGGGTCACACCCGGCAATGCGCAGGGGTTACTTCTGGCTCTGCACTCAGGAATTACTCCTGGCGGTGCTCAGGGGACCATATGGAATGCTGGGAATTGAACCCGGGTCGGCCGCGTGCAAGGCAAATGCCTTACCTGCTGTGCTATCGCTCCAGCCCCCAGTGACAGATTTTAAGAAAAAGAAAGGAAAGTAAGTGCCCTGGGAGATGCTTAGAGCCCAAGGAGTGGGTAGCAGCTCCGCCTAAGAGGCCATGTGGGTTCCTATTGGACCGTTTTTCTGAGTTCTCACAATTTTCATTCTGCTGGGTTACCTCCTGTTGGGAGAGCCCTGCAGCCAGGTAGTTCCCTCCTCAGGAAGAATGACCCTCTGAAGGGAGTACCTTACTGGAGGCATTTTTGGGCTGTAGATTTCAAGGCTTCTTTGGTTCTGGACAGTTTCTATATCTGGGTCAGCACTGCGGGATCCCCTCTGATTGCGTAAGCCTCTGGTTGCCTGGCTGTCTGCCTACTTGAGCAGATGTGTTAATTGACTTGCTGTGGTAATCATTTCACAATGTATTGCCAATGTACCCAGTGAAGCATCACATTGTCAGCTTTACCTAAAACTGGAAACGTATGAAACCAATGTAGACAAAGATGGAGGAAGAAGCAGTCCCACATGGTGGAGACTTGCATCTCCTCCTCTCAATGAGGGCTTGAACAGCCAGAAAAGATAAGAACGTGAACAACCCAGTAACCAGCTATGCTGCACTGCCCAGCAACAGGACACATGTCCTTCTCATGTCCATGGAACATTCTCCAGGACTGAACACAGGCTAGGCCAGAAATCAAATCATAATTGCTAAAAGAAGGAAGCAACCCATGTACACAACAGTTTTATAGATGAACACGCGCACACACATCTATGCTAAAACAACCTCTCAGATTCCTGACAGAGTGTTGGAAAGGCTGTTACATGTCAGAGGAATAGACTTATTTTGGGGGTTTGAATGGCACAGCTTGGACACAGAGACTTAGCTTATGGCACAAAGACAGCTGAAACTGCCTGAAACAGGAGCACTTGAGCTTTCTGCATCTGGTGAAACAGGTCAAGAAGTCAGAGGTTTCTGCTCTGCCTTCTATAAAGAGTAATTCTGGCTTCAAGACTTTCCAGCTCCTCCAACTTATGTCCAAATGATTATATCTATGTAAATAAATATGTATGTATACATGGGCTGGAGTGATAGCACAGCGAGCAGGGAGTTTGCCTTGCAAGCAGCCAATACGGCCGACCCGAGTTCGATTCCTCCGCCCCTCTCAGAGAGCCCAGCAAGCTACTGAGAGTATCTCGTCTGCACGGCAAAGCCTGGCAAGCTACCCGTGATGTATTCAATACGCCAAACACAGTAACAATTGTCACAATGGAGATATTACTGGGCCCGGTCGAGCAAATTGATGAACAACAGGAGGACAGTGACAGTGATGTATACATATATGCACGTCTTTGCAGTGTTCAAGGTTTACTCCTGGCTCTGTGCTCAGTAATCACTTCTGGCAGGGCTGGGGGACCATATGAGTTACTGGGGATTGAATCTGAGTCTGCTGCCTGCAAGGCAAGCACCATACCTGGGGAACTGTTGCTCTGGTTCCAGATTTAACTATCACTGTCACTGTCCTGTCACTGTCCTCCCATTGTTCATCGATTTGCTTGAGCGGGCCCAGTAACATCTCCATTGTGACAATTGTTACTGTGTTTGGCATATCGAATACGTCACGGGTAGCTTTCCAGGCTTTGCCGTGCGGGCGAGATACTCTCAGTAGCTTGCTGGGCTCTCCGAGAGGGGTGGAGGAATCGAACTCGGGTCAGCCATGTTGGATGCTTGCAAGGCAAACGCCCTATCCGCTGTGCTATCGCTCCAGTCCAGATTTAACTATATTTTAATATTTTGATTAACATAAAATGTTCACCTTAAAAATGTCTTCCCTAAATATTTGCCCTCCCTTTCGTCCAGCAAAGTTGCACAGAGGAGGGGGGATCTCTGCAGCTGCATGCAAGGCTTGTACTATCTCTCTACCTCCAAATTTATACATATTTTTTTAAATGTAGGAGTACTGCTATTTATTCAGCCACTGATTAGCTGATTGAATTGTGAATGAACTCCACCTTACTTTCTTTTTCATTTTTTATAATTTTATTTATTGAATCACCATGAGAGCAGTTACAAAGCTTTTGGGTCTAAGTCTCGGTCATACAATGAAACACTCGTACCTTCACCAGTGCCCATTCTCCACCACCAAAAACCCCAGTATACCCCCATCCCACACCCTCCCCCTACCTGTGGGGCAGATGATTTCCACATTACTCTCTCTCTACTTTGATCACATTCAGTATTTTGACACCAGACCCACCATTATTATTTGAGATTTTACCCCAACACTAGGATCTGCTGAAAAGGCAACAGTGGACAATTTGTGTTCTATTGCTGGGTATGAATAACATATGATGTCGCATGGTTGCAGTGGGGCCATGTGATTTTGAAATTCTGAAATTTTAACACTTAAATCTGGAGGGATTTCTGCCAAAAGCCACTGGGTTTCGAGATTTGCTCCTGAGTCTCTGGGATCATGGCGGTTGAGCAGCTTGATCAGGAGTCAGAGAGGCCATTCGTGGGCGATGACTTGGGGTCTCATTGGGGTGGGGAGAACAGGACCGGCTCCACCCCCATCCTGTGAGGCCCTGCGTGTCTCATCACTTGGGGCCCAAACCTGACTGTCCAGTGGCCCCTGAAGGATGGCGGCCACTGGGCCGCCAGAGGGAACAGGCCAAGGCACAAAACCTATTCCCACCTGGGTTGGCCCAGCACCAGAGAGGCCATGCCTTCAAGTATATAGGTGAGCCGGAGGTGGTTTGTTGGTGTGTTTCCCACAAACTTGGCCGTTTACTTATTTGGTAAACTTTGCCCCAAGTTTTTGGGGTCTGGCCAAAGGCACAGCAGCAATTTTGGGGTATCTGGAAGTCTGAAGGCGCCATCAGGCTGCTAATGCACTTGCCTCACAGGTACAGATAGACCTGCTGGCGGCACCATACCCCCAAATTTATAAAAGCGAGAAATGTGGACCATTTTCAAGTCAGTGCAAGTCTTAAGTGAGCCAGACAGATGAATAGAAGGTTCTTAGTTGGTGATGCTTCCATTCAGGAAGACGTGGTGCTGACTCTGGTTTTAGCAGTCAGGCTACTGAAGGGCATACTCTGGGGCAGAGCACTCATCAGGCTCACCTTCAACCATTTGAGTTTCCACTCATCACTAACAAAAGGCCTGCACATTTGTCAGCAACAATTAATAGATGATCTAGGATCTTGCCTATATACACCAAATTGTTCTTTTTTTTTTTTTTGGCTTTTTGGGTCACACCTGGCAATGCACAGGGTTTACTCCTGGCTCTGTACTCAGGAATTACCCCTGGCGGTGCTCAGGGAGCCATATGGGACTCTGGGAATCGAACCCGGGTTGGCTGCGTGCAAGGCAAATGCCCTACCCACTGTGCTATTGCTCCAGCCCCCACCAAATTGCTTTTTTGGGGGAAGTCTTTGGGGCCACACCCGGCAGTAATCTGGTTTTGTATTTAGGGGTCACTCCTGACAGGGCTTGGGGGGCCATATAGGATGCCAGCGATTGAACCTGGGTTGGCCATGTGCAAGGCAAATGCTCTACTTGCTGTACTATCTCCACCACCCCAAACTACTATTAATTAAAACCATCATCAGTTAATTTATTGATTCTTTCTTTAAAAAAACACACCAAAACAAACCCAATACAATGTTTCCTGTTCCATCTCTCTTTTTTATTCAATGCCATCATTGTGTGTCTCCATCATTGTGAATGGTCTGGGAGTTGAGATTGTCTCAAGTACTTAAAGATGACAAAGCCTGAACAAGTGTCAGTAAATGACTAGTAAAAACAACTCAGTCCTCCAGACCCCATGACTGCTGGTGGGAGAGGAGAATAAAGTAGTGAAGGGTCACAATGAACTTTTGTAACCTTACGTGACTATGGATGGCCAACTATATTCTCCTTCTCCTCCTCAATTAGTTACTATAAAAAGTCTTTTGTTTCAGATAGGGATTAAAAAAAACCCTTTTTCCTAGAGGAATTGTTTCTCTACTGTGTTTAAGGAGCTCAGAAGACAACATTTTAAATATTGTGGGAAGGACCAGAGAAACTTACTTTGCCTGAGAGTGGGCGATTCATGTCTCCCCACAACTGGGAGCTAGCCTCTGGCGTGGAATGAGTTGCTCATGATCATGGAGTCAAAGTAAACTAGCAATCCTTTTAGATTTACTTTTGGATCTTTCACAACATTCTGTATTACTTTTATTACATACTATATGCATTTCCTTTCGTGTTTCTACACATTACTCCATGACCAAGTTCCATCTTCATGTTTCTCTGGGAGTAATGTTACAACTCCAAATCAGAGGTAGCACTGCACTGTAGCACTGTCCTCCCGTTGTTCATTGATTTGTTCAAGCAGGCACCAGTAACGTCTCCATTGTGAGACCTGTTGTTACTGTTTTTGGCGTATCGAATATGCCACGGGGAGCTTGCTAGGTTCTGCCGTGTGGGCGGGATACTCTCGGTAGCTTGCCGGGCTCTCTGAGAGGGGTGGACGAATCAAACCCAGGTTGGCTGCGTGCAAGGCAAATGCCCTACCCGCTGTGCTATCACTCCAGCCCAAATCAGAGGTAGGAGGGTAGAATATGTGTTTATGACCCTGTAAACAAAATAGTGGACTTACCAAAGTATAATACTCACACTTACAATTGATTTTCCCCCTTTATTTTCAAAAGGCTAACTTCTCTCCATTTCTCTACTATCAAAGTCAAGAACTGCCAAATGGTTCTGCTAAGAAGGCACCAGCTCCTACTCCTGCTCCTCTGGCCGTCTCGAGTCCAGATACTACAGAGGAAGTAGGAGACTACAAGCCCAAACTCTGCAGGCTGACTAAAGGGGACAGTGGTTATGGCTTCCACTTGAATGCGATTCGGGGGAAGCCAGGCTCATTCGTCAGAGAGGTATGGTGATGTTGTTTCAGCAGCCCAGTGATGTTTGGGAGATCAGTTTCTCCCACCCACTTAGTGAAAAGCTTCCACTGAAGGCTTAGACAGGTAGTCTCATGTGGGTTCCAGTCAAGTAGCTATCATAATCCTGTACCCTTTATGGTAACTACTAGCACATTCTATATTCACGTCTTTTGTCACTCCACCCAGTAGCCTCTTAAAACATTTAATTATGTTTTCTTGGATAATACTGGCTGGGACTGGGAGCTATTCCTGTGGGCATTCAGGGGACCATGTGGTACCAGGGATCAACACAAACCTCCCACAAGTGAGTTGTGCTCCAGCCTTTTAAGCCATCTCCTCCTTACCTCCCCTTCTCCCCCCACCCCATTATCTCTTTATATACTTTCAAATCACATAGAATAAGTTGCTGTGACTTCAGTCGACCGTCATCATTCATCTGTGCTTGCTTCTGTGCAACTGGCATAATGCCCTGCCCAAGAGGGTGGAAGTGAGAAGACTATGGCTCTCAGACTGGGAAAGAAAAAGGAAGACCCAGAGATCTAGGGTCTCCATGCACATGCTTTCAGTGTGGTATTCGGCCACTGCAAAGTGCTCATTTCAGTGGGAAAGCAGCACCATTCAGAAAAGGGGATCTTAAAGCATCTTTTTTTTTTTGGCCACACCCGTCAATGTTCAGGGGTTACTCCTGGCTGCACTCAGGAATTACTCCTGGAGGTGCTTGGGAGGCCCTATGGGATGCTGGGGATCAACCCTGGGTCTGCTGCATGGAAGGCAAGTACCCTACCCTCTATACTTTCGCTCTGGCCCTTGAGTACCTTTCGTAGGTGCTGCAAGGACAAAGAATGACATGCGAAAGAGTAAATCTTCCAGGTCCACCACTATACTCTGCAGGGAAGCCAGTGTGCCATTCCCTTGTGTTTGGACATGCTAACTCAGAAACTCCATCCATAGGTCCAGAAGGGCAGCCCTGCAGAGCAGGCTGGGCTGGAGGATGAGGATGTCATCGTTGAAGTGAATGATGTCAATGTGGAGGATGAGCTTTATGAGAAGGTGGTGGAGCGAATCCAGAGCAGCGGGAAGAGTGTCACGTTCCTAGTGTGTGGGAAGAAGGCCTACAGTTATTTCAAGGCCAAGAAAATCCCTGTGGTTTCCTCCATGGCTGAGCCACTGGATGCCCTCCCGGATACCACTGAAGAAATTCAGGAAAAATCAGAGTGTGACTCACACACAGCAAGAGAAAGAGTGAGTGGTGATATTTTTTTCAAGTGAACTTTATTATACAGGGGAGTTCAGTCAAGTTTCCAGTAAGTGCCCCTTGTCTGGTATTATACCCAAGTATATGCCCAATACCTAACATTGATTTTGAACTCTGAACATAGTGAAACCCAACCCTATTGCTGTCAGAGAACCTAAATGTATGCTGGTTTTGGGCTCAGGAGTGACCACCCTTGGTGGTGCTCAGGGGACCACATGTGGTTTCGGGAACTGAACAAGGGTTGACTGTGTGAAAGGCAAACATCTTGCCTCTTGGTGCAAATCTCTGGCATAAAAAATACTGATACTGTTTTTTTGGCCACACCGAATGGTGTTCAGGGATTACTCCTGGCAAGGCTCAGATGACCATATGGGATGTCAGGGATTGAACCCAGGTCCGCCATGTGCAAGGCAAGTGCCTTACCCGCTGTACTATCTCTCTCTAGCTAAAGTCCCAAATACTGATTTTTTAAAAGAATATAATGATTGTATACCTGTAGTAATACTGTCCAGGCTGCTATAACCAAATATCATCTGGATGGCTTATAAATAACCATTTATTTCTCATTATTTTGGAAGCTCTGGAATCCAGTAGTACTATGTCAACAGATTTATTGCCCAGTGAAGGCTCAATCTGGGTAGTAGATTCCCAACTTCTTGCTGTGTCCCCTGTCATGGAAGGGGCTAGTGAGCTCTGGGAGACAATATGAAAAAATCCGCCCACTGACCTCATAGCTTTTTAAGGGCCCTTGCCTCCTGAGACCATCACCGTGGGAATGAGAATTCCCATGTGAATCTGGGGGAGATATACACACAGCACACATGTTGACTGCACGGGTGACCTTGTGTGCTGAACTGTTCAACACACAAAAATGTCTAATTATTTAAAAATCCTGTATCTGCTTAAGAAGTCAATTACAGTTCTATGTGAGCTTTAGAGGAAAGATGTGTATCTGGGCTGGAGTGATAGCACAGCGGGGAGGGCATTTGCCCAGCATGCAGCTGATCTGGGTCCAATTCCTTCCATCCCATATGGTCTTCCAAGCACCACTGGGAGTGATTCCTGAATGCAGAGCCAGGAGCAACTACTGAGCATCACCAGGTGTGACCCAAAAAGGAAAAGAAAAAAAAAAGATATGTATCTATGCATGTATAGACATCTAAGAGACAGCTAAATTATATAGCATATCTTAGAGGATTTGTCAAAACAGGAGTTGCAACAAAGTCCAGTATAGAATTCATGACACCTGGTGCATGTCCACACAGTAAACAGACCACCCATTCCCTGTTGCTTACACCACCACTTACAGACCCTTTGTTTTCTTTTGCACAGGCGCACAGTACAGCCTCCAACTCGTCCTCTGGTTCTGAAGACACAGCAATGTGATGGGCACAGAGAAGGGCTCTGGCCGAAGGCTGTTTCTGGGCATTTCCCCGAGATCCTCTCACCTCTCAGGCCCCAGTGGCCGTGCATGCCACGTCTCTGAGCACTGCGTCTCTGGCAGCCTCTGGCCGCAGCGCACTATTGGCGCTTTCAGGAATGCCTACCACAGATGGCTGATTCGTGGTCGCTTAGGAAAAGCTAACGCAGGAGCCAGATTCTTTTTTCCTTTTCTCTCTCAAGCTTCAACTTAACCCCACTTCTTTGCATAATGATCCCTCTTCAATTTTACAGGCTCCTTGAGCACCAGAGACGAATTCATAAATCCACATATGAGTTGCTGATTCAAGTATCTGAGTATAATGTCTACTAAAATTACGCTTTTGTAAGAATGTGATTGCTAAAATAAAATACCAGTTAAAAATGTAATCTGAGTCACCTTGGGACATCCTTGTTGACTGGCAGAATCTTAAAAACGCCTTTGGTTTTGGTAAACTTTTTAATGCCTTACCCTTCATTTTGCCTCTAGAAACCCAAGCCACAATCACATGCAGAATAAGATGTTAATAATAATAAAAGAGTTCCTGATAATAAAATGCAGTATTTTCTTAAACTGCATCTGAGTGTTTTACAAACTTCCCAATATCTTCCTCTTTGTTGATGAAGAAATGGAATCCCTTGAGGAACATCCGCGACTAAGACACGCAGTGTTTTGCCACAACAAGAGGGCAACAGAAAGGCGTTACCATGGACTGAGAGTGTCTCTTTCAGATAATACTAATGGGAGACCAAGAGACACAACACATCTGAATCTCTTCAGATTGTTTCAGTTGTGCACTGTCTCGTCCCCAGAGGACAGACAGTACTTAGTTATTCTAATAGGACAGGGAACAGGGAGCCAGGGCTGGGGGGGGGGGGGGGGGGGGGGCGGGGGGCAACTCCTGCTCCATCTCTCTCTCCCTCTCTCCCTCTCTCTCACACACACACACACACACACACACACACACACACACACACACAAAGCCGAACTGCGACCCAAAGAACAAACCTAAGGCCAATGCAGTACATTCTCTGACTTTAATGTCAGTCTCTTGGGAAAGTGGTGCTCCCTGGGGACCCGGACTTCAACTTAAGTGCTGTGCCGGGCCCAGCTACCTCCGAATCCCCCCACCCACAGTTCCAGTGTATTTTCCCCTTGCTTTTCAGCTCTTGTCACCCCTCTTCTTCCATGCAGTATTAGCCTCAAGTGCATATGGGAGGCCCTGGCCAAGGACCAGCTCTCCCGGGGCCTAGCAGACACTACTCATGACCGCAGCAGAGGGCAGAAGCTGGAGGTAGAATATGCTGCTGTTGCATTTCTTTTTCTTTAAAAAAAAAAAAAAAGAGGAACTGTTCCCCTCTCTCCCCCAACTTCTATCCAAGCTGTGATGCTGCCAGCCCACAGTGAAAGGAGAGAGCGAGGGACGAAGAGTTGTCCTGGTCAGCTCAAGGCATCATGTGCTTCTCGGGCGCCTGCTTGTGCGCCAGGTAGAGGAACAGGATGCTGGAGAGTGCGCTGACCAGGAAGATCACATCAAACCAGCGATGGTAGAAGTTGAACTGCAGCTCCCCGAGGACTTCAGTGATGATGATGCGGTACTCCAGAGGCATGCTCATCCGGATCAGCAGCAAGGAAGACACAAAGTACATCCCCTGTGGGCCAAATGATCCGGAAGGCACAGGTCAAAGGAAACCATGAACACATTTTGAAGAATACAGCTCTGGGGCCTGAGAGAGTCTTGTGGGAAGGCACTGGCCTTGCCTGAAGCTGACCCTGGTGTGACCCTCCTCAGATTACCTACAGACTCCTCTGAGCACTGCCAGGACTGATCCAAGCACAGAGCCAGGAGGAAGTCTGAGCAGTGCTGGGTATGGCCCTGGGTATCAGCCTCACACCCCCCTGCCCCGCCCACCCCAACCACCTAATTCTGGCATTTTACCACCATAAACATAAAGTCATTTCATTAAACTTACCATTATTTGTGCTAGTAGCAGGACAATGACATTGGAGGATTTACTGCTGGAGATGGCGTAAAAGAACTGCCAAGAGAGAAGGAGTGATGAGTCATGAGATGCTGTTCATAGGGGGCTGTGCCAAGAACACACACTCGCCTGGCTAATTCAAAGTGTCTTTTCCATGCCATAACCCCTCACAAAAAGCTATCGACAGGGGCTCAAAGGGTCTACTGAGCAATTTTCCTGCTGAGAGTGGGGGTTCAAATACTGCCTTCTAATAATGAGGATCCTACCACCACCCAACTTTTCAGAAACTATGTGACACACAGGATTTTAATGACACTTTAATGAAGTGTTATTAACACTTAAACATCATCCCAGGCTACTCCAAGCCCTGGCAAATAGTCACAATCACTCTTAAGACTGGAGAGAGAGTATAGTGGGTAGGGCATTTGTCTTGCATGTGGCAGACCCAGATTCAACCCCAGGCACCCATATGGTCCCCCAAGGCTGCTGGGAGCGATTCTTGAGAGCAGAGCCAGGAGTAGCTCCTGAGCACTGCTGGATGTGGCCCCCAAACCAAAACCAATCACCCGTGAGTGATTCCAGTCAAGCTCATGGCTCCTTGAGGCTGGTGTGAACTTACAGTGGGCAGGGCACTTGCTTTGTATGCATGAGACCCAGATTCAATCCCCAGCACCTCATATGGCCCCTCGAGGCCCACCAGGAGTGATCCCTGAACACAAAGCCAAGAGCAGGTGTGCCCCAAAATCAAAACCAAAGAACACTGAAGTCTGAAATCGGACCTTCTTCTGGAGAGGACCCAACTGTCACCTCTCTGTAGCCCTCCTCTGTGGACTGGATGACAGCTGCAACTCTGTTCCCTGCCCCAACTTCCAGAGCACCCTCACAAGGGACTCCTCCAGCCTCAACTGCGGATCTCATCCAGACCCCCTACAAATAGCTCTCAGTCCCCACCCGCTCACACCCAATCCAGTACTCTTCAGAGGCCACTGACCTCTCACTGCAGAAAATGAGTCCTGTCTCATGCTGCAACATCTCTGGTAAACATGCTGATCTGACTGGTTTGTGATGGAAACATGGCAACTAATTTATGTATTGACTAAACTTCAAAAAAATACTGCTGTGTATCTTCTAAATATTTGTGACTGCTGTCTATGATCTCGGGAGACAGACATGGTCAGTCAGTCAAATTATCTCAGGGGATGGTCTAGCTGGCACGTACTTGTGAGCACTGTGCTACAACCTACCTTAGTCAGGGTGATCAGTAAGCCTCTAATAGAGGTGACGATGATGATTCCAACGAGGATGAAGGAGATATGCTGTGACCAAAACTTCACCTGCCACCAGAATAGGAAAAATTAGAAAGAAATCTGTGAGATTTCTCTTCAGAGATGTGACAGCACAGTAGAGGAACTGTAGTCCCTCATGTGACTGGGCGGGAGCTCCAGAAGGAGCAATCTACTGAACACACAAAGAACACTGAGAACACAAACTTGTCTTTCACCAAAGTGTAGTCAACAGTATTGGCCCTAAGTACATGTCAGGAAAAATACAGTTTTACGAATTAAGTCATTGAACTAAATTCAGGCAAGAGTATACTTAAAGAGGGTCAACAAAGTACGTAGAAGGATGATGAAAAACTTGGGGCACATGTCACAGGGACAACCTTTAGCTCAAAGTCCATGTTACTTATTATTATCTATTTATTCAGCCCTGATAGCACAGTGGCAAGGCGCTTACCTTGCACGCAGCCGACCCGGGCCGACTTCGATTCGACTCCTCTGCCCCTCTTGGAGAGCCCAGCAAGCTACTGAGAGTATTGCAAGCTAACCGTGACGTATTTGATATGCCAAAAACAGTAACAAGTCTCACAATGGAGACGTTACTTGTGCCGACTCGAGCAAATCGATGAACAATGAGAGGACAGTACTATTTATTTATTTTTGCTTATTGGATCACACCCAGTGTTGCACAGGGGTTACTCCTAGCTCATGCACTCAGGAAATACTCCTGGCGGTGCTCAGGGGACCATACGGGATGCTGGGAATCGAACTCAGGTCAGCTGCGTGCAAGGCAAACTCCCTACCTGCTCTGCTATCACTCCAGCCCCTATTATTATTATTATTATTTTTACAATAGAATGACATTAACTACTAGCTCATTTCTAACAGGAGTCAGACATGAAGGTGTGTGTGAGTCGCAACAAGAATCAGAGAGAAGTATCTGAACCTTGGGGAAATGCAGGGGAGGAGCTGGAGGAACCCTCAGCACCCCTGCCCTGAAGCTCCAGCTGCTGCTTAGGGCATTCATTACGCCCTTTACATTCTGCTCCAGCAGAGAGTGGGAAGAATGAAAGCAGAACCAAGTACCTTCAGGAAGGATTCACAATCTCAGTTATTACAACTGTCACAGAAAAGACAGAAATAAACTTGACAAACCAGATCTTCAGACAACTCTTACATCAAATTGTATCCCCAGGTAATTCACAGTGATTTCAATGCCTCTGGTGACAGGATCAGTCTTCCCAACTCGGTCAAAAACAATATTGATGGTCGCCTGCAGAGACAAACATCTTTATATTAGAGCATCTTAAATGTCACTGTATCACTGTCCTCCCGTTGTTCATCGATTTGCTCGAGCGGGCCCAGTAACTTTCTCCATTGGAGACTTTGTTGTTACTGTGTTTGGCATATCGAATACATCACAGGTAGCTTGCCAGGCTCTGCCGTGCGGGTGAGATACTCTTGGTAGCTTGCCGGGCTCTCCAAGAGGGGTGGAGGAATCGAACTCGGGTCGGCCATGTTGGCTGCGTGCAAGGCAAACGCCCTACCGCAGTGCTATCACTCCAGTCCCTTAAATGTCAGTATTTAAAAAAATAATGAGGAAATAATGAATTAATCACTATTAATGATAATTAATCTTACATGTATCTTACGGATAGGGGTTCCTAAAAATGCAGTTCTACTTTTAGACCAGGCCATATGTGAGAAAATACCTTTTGATTTACCTTTTGAAATACCTTTCACATGTACGCAAATACAAGATTCTACCTTTTCTTTCCTGTAAAGAATCCGGGGGAGGGACTGGAGAGATAGTAGAGCATGTAGGGCACTTGCCTTGCATACACTGACCTGGGTTTGATCCCCGGCATCACATATGGTCCCCTGAGCAGTGCCAGTAGTAATTTCTGAGTGCAGACTCAGGAGCAAGTAAGCCCTGAGCATCTCTGGGTGTGGCCCCCAAACAAACAAAAATCCAAGGGAGGGGCCCAGAAAGACAGCACAGGAGGTAGGGCACTTGCTTGCATGTGACGAACCCTAGTTCAATCCTAGACACCTCAGAAAGTCCGCCAAGTGCTGTTAGGAGTGATCCTTGAGCACAGAGCCAGAAGTAAGTCCTGAGCATCACTGGTGTGGCCCTGAAACTATTCCTCACCCGCCACAATGAATTTAGGGGGAAAAGATTATGGCACATTTACCCAACTTTGAGGAGCCAGAGAGGTGACACTTAGTAGATGGAATCAGAGTCAGAGAACTAAGGTCATTCCCTGGTGTGACTTTTTGAAATGCATTAAGAATAACTGCTAAAATAACAGGAGCATTACAGTTCACAGGTCTGTAAAAGGGATGAATCAGATGAGGAAATGCATCTGTTCCATAGCCCTGTAGAGATGCTGATCTGCTGCCAGTTTCCACCAAAGGTGCCAGAAAAAAGTGTCCTTGTGGTTTCTACCTGTATGATGTGGCAGTGTGGACTGAATGGCAGAATACAGGAGAAAAACATACACAAAAGAAAACAGTTGATGAAAAATTCAAAAGGCAGAAGAAAAAGGGCAAAAAGAACAGCAAGAAGATAAGAAAAATAGCAATAGGAGAGCTGGAGGGTTTGGGACTTTGGCACAGTGGTACCACCAGGACTTCCGGGGTGGGGGGGGAGTTGGGGGCCACATGGGCTGGGGAGTGAAGTTGGGCTCCTCATGGAAGGCAGCACTGTCCTCTGATCCAAATCCCGGAACCCTCAAATGGCCACTTTAAAGCTAAACAAATCAATAAGTCACTTTCATTTGTTCCAAATGGTCTAAACCTGGGGTGGGTGAATTTGAAATAGACTATAGCAGTCAAAAGTTTAGAAAGTACAGGATGGTGCGGGGGCTAAGATGCATGTCTTGTGGGTGGCCAATCCTGGCTCCATCTCTGGCACCCCAGAGATCCCCCAACACAGCTGAGCGTGGGCCTTTTAGCCCCCGCCCCCTCATCTCCACCCTCATCCCCGCTCTGGTGCATTTTATAATTCCAGGCCCTGTGACAGAGCAGCTGCCTTGAAGGCAAGAGGGCTCGAGTCTGACCCCTGGCACCAGCACACCCCCCACCCTCAATCTCCAGAATGAAGGCAAGGAGACAAGGAAATCCAGCTATCACATTAAGAAGAACAAAATGCAAAAAAAAAAAAAAAAAGATTGCTTGAAGATTGCATCTCAGACAGATCTTTTAGTCTTTCAGTAGCTTAGCTAGCTGGACACCTTGTTTTCACGCGTCCTCTCCCACAGAATAACCAACACTTGAAAGTCATCTGAGTGGGTACTGACAGTAATACAGTAACCTGAGAACCACAAAAGAGAATCATAGTAGCATTCCCTCGGCCACCCAATTGGCCAAAATGGGCTGACAGAGTGACTCTTGGTGTGAAAACAGTGGGAAAGTGACCAAACCAGAAAGTCAAACCAGCCTTTTCTATAACCACAATGAAGTCCATGAGTAGCTGCTGATGAGTCAAGATGAATAATGCACGTAGAGTGGATGTGAGGATGAAAGGAATGAAAACTCTAAGCAGAGAAGATGAGCTCATCTACAGAAATAGATCCTAGAACTTATTTTGGATTTTCTTTTTTTAAGGTTTAGAGACTACTGTTCATTTTGTGCTGGGTTTTTGGGCCACCCCCAGTGGTGAAAGGGATTATTCCCAGCTTTGTTGTTCCTGGGGATGCCCCAGGGACCTTGTCAAGCAGGAACTGAATAGGCAGGTGCCCTGAGCCTGTGCTTTGCAGCCCGGCTAGCTGCAGGGGGTAGAAAGGACAGATGACTGAGAGAAAGGTACGGGCTGAGGTGAGAGGCAGTGAAGCATTTACAGGAAATATGGAAAACCACGTGAAGAGGTAAGGTAAGGAATTTTCACATTCATTTAATATAGGCATGATCTTTCTAGTGATTTCTGACAGGAAGAACATGTAATCCCCTTTTCTAGCAGAAAGGACAAAGACTGGAGTTCAGGTGACTCAACTGGGAGTGGAATTTAGCTCAATGTCTCAATATCCAACCCACTCTCCTCTCTTTGCCCTTACTAGAAAAACAGGTCAACCATGACAGTTACAATGAACATACTTACCATGAAAATTTTCCAAACACAGTAGATTGAGAAAAAGTAACCCAGAAAATTAAAATATTTCCCTTTGAAGGTTTTGGAATATTCTATTCTCTCCTGAAAAAAATAAAACACAAAATCTAGTTAGTCCCAGTAAATATAAACTTACATTAAAAATGGCGCTTAGGAATTATTCCTGGTGTTGTTCAGGGAACATATGGGCTGCTGGGATCAAATCCCGTTGGCCTGGTGCAAGGCAAGTGCCCTACCTGCTGTACTATAGGGCTCTGGCCCCCAAAGTAGTACCTTTAGAAATGGTAAGTAGGGGTACCAAAGAGATAGTTCAGGGGTTAAGGCACCTGCCTTGCATGTGGCCCACCCTGGTTCAATTCTGGGCACCACACGGTCCCCTGAACCCTGCCAAGAGTGATTGAGCTAGGTGTGATCCCAACACCAACAAATAAAATGCTAGGTAGGTGTCTACATACCTACAGGGCGTTTGCCTTGCACGCAGCCAACATGGCCGACCCGAGTTCGATTCCTCTGCCCCTCTCGGAGAGCCCGGCAAGCTACAGAGAGTATCTCACCCACACGGCAGAGCCTGGCAAGCTTCCCGTGACATACTCGATATGCCAGACACAGTAACAACAAAGTCTCCAATGGAGACGTTACTGGGCCCGCTCGAGCAAATCGATGAACAACGGGAGGGCCTTTACCTTTTTTTACCTTTTGGCCACACCTGGAGGTGAGCAGGGCTTCTCCCAGATCTGTGCTCAGGGATCAGTCCTGGTGGTGCTTGGGGGAACCATATGAGGTTCCAGGGATCAAACCCAGGCAGGTCATATGCAAGGCAAGTGCCCTACCTGCCGTGTCTCACTTTGGCCCCATTCCACATTTTTTTTTAAAAACTTGTAAGAGGATAAAAAGCAACGAGAGGGGGTTGGAGCGATAGTATAGTGGGCAGGGTGTTTGCCTTACACGCAGCCGATATGGGTTCAATCCCTGGCATCCCATATGGTCCCCCAAGCACTGCCAGGAGTAATTTCTGAGTGCAGAGCCAGGAGCCAGGAGTAACCTCTGAGTTTCACTGGGTGTGAACCAAAAAAAAAAAAGGCAACGAGAGGAGTTGCCATCTGTTATACTTTAGTTTAATTTTTAATTTTAAATTATTTTACCGTTGAGGGAGCATTCTGCCAGTGTTTGGGGGTATAGCTGTGTTCAGTGGTGCTGGGGCGGTGGTGGCAGACTAAAGGCAGGCATGAACTTGGGCCTCATTCCCAGAAGCTGAGTCTCTTCTAACTGGTCTACCGATTTCAATTGTTCCTATGACCACGGGTTTTCCATAACACATTTTCTAATGGTAGGAGCACTGTCCTAAAGATTTAGCCTTATCACCAATGCTTCACCACTGGTACTGATGCAAGAGATGCTGCTTAGCCACAGAAAATACTAAACAATGGTTTAATCTTCTCTCTTTAATCAGACTGGTAAACCCACACTTCCGCTTCCTTGCTCTGTACCTTGGTAGCATAGAGATCAGCAGTTTCCAGAAAAAGCTGCCTGCTTAGTTCTTCCAATGCATCCACTTCCTGCTGAATAAGCGTCAGATCTGGCAGAAAATGGGCATCAAGGTTTAAATCATGTAGAAGTTTCAAGAAATAGCAATGAAGAAGGCAAATGTACTTGGTTTTTCCAACAGAGAATCTTAGGAAACGCCTGTTCTTTCAAGTTCCTGTTTCCTTAGGCAGGCACGTAGCTCAGAATGCCTTCCCTAACTTCTGACACAGTGTATAAGGCATCTCTACACAACACTGACCAGACTTAGTTTCTTACTTAACCAGGTGGCTTTGAAAGCTGGGCCCACCCGATGGTGCTCAGGGCGTCCTCCTTACTCTGCACTCAAGGATGACTCTTGCTGGGCACCAGGGGACTCTATAGGATGCTGGGAATTGAAGCCTGGTCAGCCATGTGCAAGGCAAGCGTCCTACCCACTGTACTATTTCTCTCCAGCCCAAGCTTTATAGATTTCTAAGCAGTTAAATGAGTATAGACACCCTCTTCTGGAGGGTCTGCCTCTCCCCTGACAGATGCGAAGCGTTCCAAATGAAGATCTGCTGTGTACAGCAGACTTTGCACTCAACCTCAGCCTCGGAAACAAGCAAAAAATTTCCTGATTAAAGCAATCTAAATTCCTCCTTTCTTCTTCCTGTAGAAAGGTTACTCTTTCTGCTGTCCGGTACTTTTTTTGTGAGCTACACCCAGTGGTTGCTCTGTTCTCAGGGGACCCTGTGTGGCCTTGGGGATGGGAAGCAGAGAGAACAATGTCACAGCCGCACGGCCAGTGCCTTATCCCGTGGCCAGCACCTCTGGCCTCTTCTGTCCAACTGTGCATTTGATACCCCAGACTTCAGCAAGAAGAGAACGGATTCTTTTCCTCTGAGTGAAGCCAGGGGGAACTTGCTTCTCCTCAGGCCAGAGAAGGAAGCAAGAGGTGACTGCACTCCTGGACCCCTCAACTTCAACTTAATGCTCTGGTGGCCACAAAGAGATTAGCTCACTCACTCCGGAACCAAGTTTAATACTGTCTTCAGCTGAGCCAAGAATAACCCATGAACCCAGTCTTCTCAACTTTCTACATCAAGAGTTCTTTAAACCAACTGGCTCAAAATTGGCTTAGAAATACTGTAGATTTTTGAAAGGGGCTTGCAAGTCATTATGGAGCCATTTTGTTCAGTGGTGCTTTGGGAGTGGGGGAACTTCTCAAGCAGATGCTCAGGAGACCTAGGGGTTTCTCCTGGTAATGCTGAACCCTAGTCTGACTGAACGCATCTGAAGTTCTCCACCACAAGAGCCACTCTGGGCAGAGCAGTGCTGGGGGTCTCCAGGGCCAGCCCGGAACTATGCGACCTGGGGATTGACTGAGGGGTTCCTCATGCCAGGCTCCCACGGTCCTCTGGATTTCTCCCTGGTGGGTAGTGGGTTTTCAGAGGTGGAAAAGTAATAGTGTAGTGGAAAGAACTAAAATGAGACCAGAGCTCCGGTCCAGTTTTTGCCTCAAAGCCTCAAGTGACTGAACTTCTCTGGTCCATTCTCTCTTCTGTGCAGTGAAAAGTGCTGGAACTGAGGCTCTGGGGCTACAAGACAATGATGTTACGCTGCTCCCTGGTGATGGAGACACAGCCTCACACATTTTCTACACTGGCTTGTTCACCTGGAATAGGATGCATTAGGTGACCTTCAGGAGATAGGAGGCAATGTTACTTTCCTCTGCCCTTGGCCCAGAGGGGAGGAAAAGCCTCACACAGAGGCATAAAGGATACTCTCGCTTCCTGGAGTTGAAGTGGTGACGCTTTTTATCATGCCCCAGAATCCTGAAGGCTTGTTCTGCACCTCCCCCTTCTGGAACATAGTTCTCCGTGTCATGGCCATCCTGAAAGAAATAAATAAACCATGAAACTCAGCATAAACCCCATGGTCCTCTCATCTCCTCCTTTTTTTTTTTTTTCTTTTTGGATCACACCCGGCGATGCTCAGGGGTTACTCCTGGCTCATGCACTCAGGAATCACTCCTGGCAGTGCTCGGGGGACCATATGGGATGCTGGGAATTGAACCCGTATCGGCCATGTTGGCTGCGTGCAAGGTAAACGCCCTACCCGCTGTGCTATTGCTCCAGCCCCCACCATCTCCTCCTTTTTAATGACATTTTTTGGTTTGTTTTTTGGGTCACATCTAGCAGTGCTCCGGAGTGGCCAATGGCTCTGTACTCGGGTCACTCCTGGCAAGACTGGGGGAAACATATGCAGTGCCGGAGATTTGAACTGGAGTTGGCATGTACAAGGCAACTGCTTTTGCATCTGTACTACCATTATGACCTCACTGTATTTTAAAAACCTGCATGACATTCACTTATGTTAAAAAAACAAACAAACAAAAGAAAACAAAAACTATGGGGGCCGGTGCGATAGTATAGCAGGCACATGCCTTGTGCATAGCTGACCCAGGTTTGGTCCCCTGTATCCCAGATGGTTCCCTGAACACCACCAGGAGTTATTTCCTGATGCAGGAATAAACCCTGAGCATCTCTGGGTGTGGTCCCCCCTTCAAACAAAACCAAAAAACAAACTAGGGATTGATAGAAACAAAATATGAAAAAAAAAAAAAAAAGACAAAGTTTGTAAAAATGCAGGGCAGGAGACTATTTTGGGGGGTGGGGGTGGGCCACACCCTCGGGTGCACAGGGGCTAACCCTGACTCTGGCTGTGTTCTGGAGAGTGCCATCCCCTTCTCCCAGCTCTGGCCCTGAGGGTGAGTTAATGTGCAGATACCTTACCTTTTCTTCTTGCTTATGATCATGTCAATGGTCTGGAGCAGTCGCCGTTCCAGGGCAAGAATATCTGTGTCGGTCACATTCCTAGGGTAAGAACAAACAGAACAGTGACTCTGGGGGTCAGAGCCTTGTACTTAATATAGCGCAGTTGGAGAGACACAAGGGCCCCAATTGTTGTCCACTTAAGAGCGTGTGAAAGTGGCTATGCTCAGGAAGGTGGGCTTTGCCATCTGATTTTAGGAGATGAAGTGGGGGGCAGAGCTGAGACTTCTGGGGTGTCAGGGGTGGCGGCTAGCTCCCTGATAGTCTTTTTTTGCTTTTCTCCAGTTGATGCTCAGAAGACCTGAGTAAACACATTTTAACTGAGATTTTGATTCTACTGCTCTACTTTGGGAGACACTGATTTCTGAGGTTGGAATGAGTACATGGTGTCCACCAGAAAAATGCTTTCAAAAGCTGAGGTATGGAGGGAGTGGGGAAGGGCAGATTAAAATTGCCCTTTAAAAACCAAATGTAAGATAAATAAAAAGGGCAAGCAACATAAATGGCAAAGGTTTACTCAGAAAGAGTTCTAGGTCAGTGCCCACAAGAACCCAAGAAAATAAAATCAGTATCTTTATTATCTAAGAAACGGCGGGGGCGCAAAATGACCAATATTAAAGAAGTAACGGGGAGAGAGGGGAGCAGGGAGAGAAGGGGGCAGTCACCTGAGGAAGTAGGACATGTACGTGTACGGGCAGTTGACAGCACCGAATCCAGAGAGGAGCGCCATGAGGGTTACCCCGATCACACCGACCCGGCTGATGAGCTGCTCTATGGACAAGATCCCTGTGAACATCAAAGGCCAACATGTGAACAGATCATTCAGAGGCAGCACTGGAGGCGCAGAGCGCTGGGGGCTCAGTCACCCCGCCACAAAGCCCTTGGGAGGCAGAGTCAGTCCCGCTCCAGGGCGGGGCTCAGTAACGGGCACTTTAACACGGTCATGACTTCTCTTTTTCTATCTTTTCAAGCTCCCATTCTATTTTTTTTTTTTAATGTTTGGTACTGGCCTTTTAAAAATTTAATTTATTTTACAATTTTAAAAAATTTTATTTATTGGCTTTTGGGGTCACACCCAGTGATGCTCAGGGGACCATATGGGATGCCGGTGATCAAACCCAGGTTGGCTGGGTGTTGGAATATAGCTCCAAATACTTTAGGCCTAACACTGGTTTGCCCTTTCCCCCTTGCCACAAGGTTCACTGAGTCACACCCATCACAATGCCCCAAGTCACTTCCATTCTTTTGTTATCTGTAACCCCTTCTTTATGCTCTCTTCCCCAACCAGTTAATCATCTTTTCCCTTAATCAGAATCTGTTAATTTGTAAGGTCGGATCCTTCTAGGACACTGAACTTGGTATTGTAAGTTAATATTGCCTTTCTCCTCTCCTTATGTCTTTTGAATAGTTTACTTTAATGCAATGTCCTTTTTGTATAGATACAGGAAGACAGTTAATATTATGCTTTGTAATTTAGGATTTAATTGGCTTTGAATATTATTCATTCCCGGGCATCTGCTTTCTCAATTTAAGCCTCAGTTGCCCTCACTTCCTAGCACCCCCAAAAGCAGGGTCCCAACGAGGGACTGGAGGGAACTAGGGCAAGCGGTAAGCTATGCGCTACCCTGGCATCAAGATGGGCCAGGCCAAAGTGCCACGATTCTTAACTATAAGTTAGGAGTCTGATCATAGACAAATGCTGTCACGATCCAAAAGTAATGCTGAGACTAGGACCCTGCTAGGGATAGGAAAGACTATCTGGCCTGAGCACTGTAGTCTGAGATCGAGATGGCCCTAGGAGAGCAATTCTATAAGCTTAAACATTTCTTAATGTGTCCATACAAAATGATTTATATGATGTATGCTTATATGTTTGTTAGACAAGGAGAGGAGAAACACACCCAGGGGATTCCGTTCTAGGGTGAGTCAATCTGCTAAATGAATCTGTCCAAGAAGTGGATTTCCCCGAACCCTACCCCTATAGATTGTGACCACACCTATGTGTGATTGTTACCCCAACCTGTTGGGGCTGAACTGAACTGTCAGGGTGAGCCCATGTAGACTGCGCTGCACAAGGGGCAGGAACATAGGGACCCATGAAAAATGGGCAAGATTTCTTGTGTGTCCTGACTAGTTTGGATGAGGCTGAACATTTTTCCCCTTCAAACTGACTTCAGTAAATAATTTCAGGATATTGTAAGGGGCAGTTTTCCTTTTCTCACAGAAACCTGGCTGGTCTTTGACATGCATATCTCAGGTGCTAGCCAGGCCTTATCTTTGGGATGTAGATTCCAGGATCTAGCCAGACTAGTCTTTGGGATGCAAATTTCAGTGCTTATAGCCCAAGACAGGTTTCAGTTTTGGTTTTGTATCTTCTTTCTGGTGGCCAAAATTACTGGCCTGCAGATGCAAAGAAACAATGTATGTTTTGCTGCCTCAAAGTTCCTTCTGTAACTCCTTTTGATGACTTCACTGCATTGTGCCCTTTAGAGGTACCATTGATGTAGGCAGGTAGACAGGGAGGGCCCCCTCCTGAGGCAACGACAAAAGCCAGCCCTACAGAAAATAGGAAAACAGGAACTAAGGCTTGATAAGACCCTCACCTGGCTCCAGCAACAGACCCAAAGAAGCTCCTCTAGGAATAAAAGGCCAGAAAAGGAATTTCAAAGAAGACCTTCACCACTCCCATCCTCCCTGGTAACCTCCTTAGCAACGGACATTTACCTGGGAAGAAGCCCCACGTGGGGGCTGGCTGGAGAAACCCTATAAAGGCCACTTTGAACAAAGGAAGTGCGCACATATGCTGCCTGAGTCCATGTGCTGCTTGCGCCCACGTGGCCGAGCACATGTGGTTCCCGAGCACGTGTGTCGCCCGCATCTCCCCTCTTGAGATGTGTACTTTAATGCTTTCGTGTCTAACTTTACTCTCTCCTTCCCTCTCCCTCCCTCCATACCTAAAAATCCTCCAAGTAAAATCTATTTACTTCACTGCTTGTCTACTCCTGAAATTCCTTTCTGCGAGGCGAGACAAGAACCCAGCAACCCTGGGTCCCGAGTGGCAGAGGCGGATGGGGAGAAAGTGACTGCTTTCTCCTCCCCGCTTCACATAAGTCACCCGTGGGGCCCACCAACATCACCATGATCAACAAAAGGAGATTTCGGGGCTCTCCACCGGGGTCACAGGTCTGAGAAAACCTGGGTCCTCCATGACATAAATTTCTTTCGAGTTCTTGTCTCAGCGCCTCCGGCTGAACGAACTTTCATGGCAACACCAACCCCTCATGCTGGGGGATATAATGAGACTGTAAGAGTGGGCTGGGGGAGGCAGAGGAGGGACAGGAGTGAATAGAGAGGATTGGAATAAACTATGACTAAGACCAACCAGCCTGACCCTCATTTCCTTCCTTTGCCTGCCCATCACTATTGACCTCCCTGGAGTGGGGGAAATGGCCTGAGACTAGGCCTGAGACTACTGAAAGTGGATGGCGGGAGAGATAGACTGCTGCTTTTTGTGTTCACACTGGGTACAAAGAAAACGCCCTTCCTGCTGAACTATTGCTCTGGCCCCCTAATTTTATCTTTTTAATTGAATCACTGTGAGATAGTTAGAAAGCTTTTATCCCATTCTATTTTTAGTTTGCTATTTTAACCTGAAAGAAAAGCTTTTTCTTCCCGTTTGCCTTGCACGCGGCCAACCTGGGTTCGATTCTTCTGTCTCTCTAGGAAAGCCCAGCAAGCTACCGAGAGTATCCCGCCTGCACAGTATCCCGCCTGCACGGCAGAGCCCGGAAAGCTACCTTTGGCGTATTTGATATGCCAAAAACAGTAACAACAAGTCTCACAATGGAGACGTTACTGGTGCCCACTCGAGCAAATCATTGAACAATGGGAGGACAGTGCTACAGTTGTTAAAAAGCTTTTCTGCATTTTTTGCAACCCCAAGATATATTCCCACGCCGACTGGTTCAACCCTTTTGGAAAACAGTATGGACGATTCTCAAAAAATTAGAAATTGAGCTCCCATTTGACCCAGCAATACCACTCCTGGGAATATATCCTGGAGAGGCAAAAAAGTACAGTCGAAATGACATCTGCACTTTTATGTTCATTGCTGCACTGTTCACAATAGTCAAAATCTGGAAAAAACCCGAGTGCCTGAGAACAGATGACTGGTTAAAAAAACTTTGGAACATCTATACAATGGAGTGTAGCTGTTAGAAAAGATGAAGTCACGAAATTTACATACAAGTGGTACTACATGGAAAGTATCACGCTAAGTGAAATGAGTCAGAAAGAGAGGGACAGACATAGAAAGAATGCATTCATCTGGGGAATATAAAGTAACAAAATAGGAGACTAACACCCAAGAATAGTCCAGATAAGTACCAGGAGGTTCACTCCATGGCTTGGAGGCCAGCCGCACATGCTAGGGGTAATGTCAGCTCAGATAGAGAAGGGAGCACCAAGCAAAGGGTGTTGGGAGGATCTTCCCAGGATGGGAGTAGTAGACTATAGCTCAAAGTAGACTATAGACTGAACACGATTGCCACTCAATGCCTCTTTTGCAAACCTCAGCACCCAAAAGGAGAGAGAGAACAAAAGGGAATGCCTTGCCAGAGGTGGGGTGGGATGGGGGGTATGGGGGTGGGTTGGAGGGATACTGGGATCATTAGTAGTGGAGAATGGGTACTGGTGGAGGGATAGGTACTCAATTATTGTATAACTGAAACCCAAGCACAAAAATTTATAAGTCTACAACTGTACCTCATGGTGTTTCACTAATAAAAATTAAAAACACACACACACACACACAAAATTTAAAAAAAGATATATTCCCAGAAGTGTACTGCTGGGTCATATGCAGAAGTGTACTGCAAGCTCAATTTCTAGTTTTTTGAGGAATCTCCCTATAGTTTTCCAAAAAGGCTGGACCAGTTGGCATTGCCACTAACAATGAATGAGAGTCCCTTTCTCCCCACATCCACGCCAGCACTGGCTGTTCTTGTTCTTTTTGATGTATTTGAGTCTCTGGTGTGAGATGATATCTCACTGTTGTTGCCATTTTTACTTTTTTTTTTTTTTTTAAATTGAATCACTGTGGGACTGACGCTTACAAAGCTATTCGTGATTAGGTTTCAGTCATACAGTGTTCCAACACTCATCCCTCCATCAGTGTACATTTTCTGGCACCAATGTCCCCAGTTTCTCTCCAATTCTCCCCGCCTGCCTCTATGGCAGTCACTTTTCTACTCTCTCTCTCTCTCTCTCTCTCTCCCCACCCCCCATCATGACTTTTCTTTTGATTGCAAAATTCAGCAATATTTACAGTCCTTGTTTTATTGATTTTTGATGACTTCTTTGGGGGTGGGGTGGGGGAGTGGGGTCTTTGGTCACACCTGGCGATGCTCAGGGACCAGGGATAACTCTTGGCTCTGTGCTCAGGAATTATGCCTGGTGAGGCTCAGGGGACATACTGGATGCCAGGGATCAAACATGGGTTCGCCATGTGCAAGGGAAGGGCCGTACCTAGTGTACTATAGCTCCAGCCCTAAAGTAAAGCTTATTTTTACCCCAGGCAGGGCTAGGGGTTGAACCCAGGGCCTCGCACATGCTCACACATGCAAGGCAAGTGCTCTATTGCTGAGCTTCAACCTAGGCCCCCAGAATTCTTTCACTTCCCTTTACACATCTTTTGTCTGATCTCACTGGTTTCCTAGGCTCCATCGCATGGTCTTTAGCGGATGCTACTGAATGACCTAGGACAACCTCCAGGAGGAATGGTATATCCATGCTTTTCCCCAGACCCTGACTTATGTCTATTGTCAACTCTCTAGTAAACATCCTTGGGCTGTGTATTAGCAACACAAATTTAATATAACCCAAGCTGAAATGATCTTTCTTCCCTGTTACCTTTCTTGGAGAATGACATCACCACACACCTGGTCACAAAGAAACTCTACCAAGTCTCTCTCTGTCCTGTCTTTGGAAAACAACAAGCTCCTCTGTACTTCACGATGGCTCTGTACTTTCTCACCAGTGTCACTTGGTGTTGCCCTTCAGATGGCAGCTTAAAGACCACTACCTCCAGCCGCCTGTATCACACAGAATACCCTTCTCTGAATTTTTTCTCTTAATCTGCTCGCTCCTGGATGACAATAATCACGACTGGCAATTATTTGTTGATACATTTATCTATAGGGCCAGAGTGATAGCACAGCAGGTAGGGCGTTTGCCTTGCACGTGGCTGACCCGGGTTCGATTCCTCCGTCCCTTTCGGAGAGCCCAGCAAGCTATTGACAGCATCATGCCCGCACAGCAGAGCCTGGCTAGCTTTCCGTGGCATATTCGATATGCCAAGAACAGTAACAAGTCTCATAATGGAGACGTTACTGGTGCCCACTCAAGAAAATTGATGATCAACGGGAGGACAATGCTATAGTGCTACATTTATCTATGAACTCTTCAATCCTTCCTGTCAGAATAAGCTTTAGGAGGGCAGAAACCAACAGCATGTAATATAAATGAGGTGCTTATCTCTATGGAGAAGAAACCATGTCTTTGACACATGAAAGGAGCGATAGCACAGTGGGGAGGGCGTCTGCCCTGTATAAAACTGACCTGGGTTCGATCCCCGGCATCTCATTTGATCCCCAAGCGCCACCAGGAGTGATTCCTGACCACAGAGCCAAGGTGACCCCTTAACATGGCTGGGTGTGGCCCCCCAAAAAAATTAAAGAAAAAAAAAAACCTAAAATAAAACTAAAAAAAAAAAATCCCAGGGTTTAACACTGATTATTATGCAACAACAACAACAACAAATGGGGAAAATGTCCCTCCTACTTTAAGGCAGTGCACCTTAAACTTTTTGGCTTAAAGTACTTACAGATACTGTCAACTTAATCTGAGCACTTCTATGAATGTAAATCTCCAAAAAACATTTTTTTTTCCACCTAACATGAAAAGTTCCACAGCTTTAGGTGATCTGGCTCTGGCTTAGACAGACCCTTTCCAGCTTAACGTGCTTTCTATGTTGCTTCCATCTTTCCTATTATGGCTCAGCTCCCGATTCACCTGCGGTCTGGCTGTGGCCAAAGGGTACTTTCACAGATGATACTCTCTTTGCTGTAGGTGATCGGTCGGAGAGTTTTGAGTGGGTTGAGGGGGAGGTGGGTGTGCCTCACAGTGCTAAGCTATGCACTGTCAGGACAGCTCTGGAGAAGCTCCAAGAAGATGATGCAAGCCTGAACCTTTCCTCCCAGTCACCTGTCCTGGAGGGTCAAGAAAACTGGATGTCAGAGCTGTCAAACCAACTCCAAGCCCATACTTACTGGCGTGCAAGGAAAACAGAAATGAACACTGCCTCCCTTGCTTCACCCCTCCTCACTTTGCTCTGCAGGGTTGAGGGGCAGAGCCTGGACCAAGTACCATGGAGAGGCACAGGCGAGAGGCTTGTCCTCACTCCCGCAAGGTAGCTCTGAGCATCCCCAGGAAGGCAGTGGAGTTGACCCCAGGCATGGGGGAGTGCTCGAGGGCAGTCCTGGGGCCTCTGCTGGGCCGGCTCTTAGCAGCACCAACACATATAATAGTGCTACTGCCCTTGCTACTGGGTCTCTCTCTTCCAAATCTTTCCAGTGACAGGGAGAGGGGCCTGACATGAAACTCCTAAATCCCCATCCAAGATGCTCTGTTCTCCGACTCTTCCACCACCCTGAAAAGACTGAATTCATTTCTCATAGAGCCCAGATATAGGCAATAACCACTTGTGAGGTTACATGTTAGGCACTAGGGATACAAAGAGACCCTTTTTGAGCTCAAGTGGCTTACAGGCAGGGAAGGAAGGGAGGGAGAGAAGGAGGGAACGAAGAAGGAAGAGAAGAAGGAAGAAAGGGAGAGAGGGAGGGAGGGAGGAAGGAAGGAAGAGAGGGAGAGAGGGAGGAAGGGAGGGAAGGAAGGAATGAAAGAGGGAAGGAGGGAAGGAAGAAGGGAGGGAGGGAAGGATGAAAGGAAGGAAAGAGGGAAGGAGGGAAGGTGTGAAGGAAGGTGGGAAGGAGGGAGGGAAGTAAGGAAGGAAGGAAAGGAGGAAGGAAGGAGAGGGAAGGAGGGAAGGAAGAAGGGAGGGAGGGAAGGATGAAAGGAAGGATGAAAGGAAGGAAAGAGGGAAGGAGGGAAGGTGTGAAGGAAGGTGGGAAGGAGGGAGGGAAGTAAGGGAGGAAGGAAGGAAGGAAAGGAGGAAGGAAGGGTGGGAGGGAAGGGAGGAAGGAAGGGAGGAAGGAAGGGAGGGAGGGAGAGAGGGAGAGAGGGAAGGAAGGGAGGAAGGAATAAAACAAACCAAATTGGATGGAAAATATAAATATACCAAGGTGGGAGCAATTATTTTTTCCTAATCATACCCAGGAACATTTATTTAGAGGAGCTGCCAGGGGTTCAGTATTGAATGAACAGGCAGTTTGCAGGCAGATCAGGGTAAAGACTGAACAGCAGAACCCAGATAGTGAGCAATACTCTGGCCACAGAAGGCCTTGCATGTGATGCTGAGGGTCTGAATGTTTGGGGCAGGCTGATGTTTCCTAATTTTTCTGATCTTCATAGTATCTGAAACTTGAGAACTGCTATTTTTTAATTAGGAATACATTTGTTTTTCATTAATTTTGCTTGTTTGCTTTGGCTCATACCCAGTGGTACTCAAGGGTTGTTCTTGGTTCAGAGCTCAGAGGTGGCTCCCGGCAGTGCTCAGGGGACCATGAGGTGCTGAGGAGCAAACCCAGGGCTACAGCATGCAAAGTGAGAACTCCAACCCGCACACTGGAGTTACTTAGTGTGTTGTAGAAAACTCACGCATTTTCCCCGACTGACTCTCCTGCAGGAGAGTCTCCCCACCTCTTTCTCCCAAATGCCCTGCGCTAGGGAAGGGCTAGACATGAGGGACAGCCGATCAGAGACCATGATTTCTCACGCTCATTCCAGCATGTCTTGTCCTGCAGAATCTGCAGGGACAAAGTGTCCTCGGATATCCCTGAAGCTAAGGTTCAGAATGTCACTGTACTGGTGTCAAATTCACATGCCCACGAGACCTCAAGTTCAGACGTGAACAAAGTTTGGCTGGGGACAGCCTGAGAGCAGCTGGTTCTAGGGGCTGCTTCCAGATTGGAGCTCCTGAGTGGCAGGTGACAATTCCAGTGACTTTTCTTTCTCTGGTTTGGTGCTGTGATACAGCGGGGGGTGTTTCTCACCATAGAAACTCTAAGCTTGATCTCTTTTCTCATAAATTCTAATTTGGGGCTGGAGAGATAGTTCAGGGGTAAAAGTGCTTGCCTTACACGGTCGCTGACCTGGGTTCAATTCCTGGTATTCCATAGGATCCCCTGAGCCTGCCAGGAGTAATCCCTGAGCACAGAGCCAGGAATAAGCCACCCAAACACCCAAATCCCACCCAAACACAAAAACAAAAAAAAAGTTCTAATGCCCTGCAATCTATCCCTTTCTGCTCTAAATTGTTAAGAATAGATTCTGTTTTCTATTTTAAGAACTCAGAGGGGCTGGAGAGATAGTACACTTGGGTAAGGTGCTTGCCTTGCAAGAGCCCTACCTGAGTTAGATCCCTGGCATCCCATTTGTTCCCTCAAGCCCGCCAGGAGTAATTCCTAAGTGCAGAGCCAGGAGTCACCACTAAGCATAGCTGGTATAACCCCCAAACTAAAAAGCAAAACAACTCTGACATAGTAGGATAGTGAGACAAATATTTCTTTTAGAAGTTCCAGTGTTTTATGGCTGGGCTATATTCCTAGAAAGGTTTTCTTTACTAATTGGGAGTGTCTAATCATCACTCTTTCCCTAAACACATACATTCTCTAAGTACCATCTTTGAGCATGGCTCAGAGATTCCTTTGGAAATCTGATAAAGGTTTATGGATTCAATGAAAGTTTGTTGGCCGCCTTGCACGTGGCTGACTGGGGTTCGAATCCCAGCATCTCATATGGTCCCCCAAGTGCCGGGAATAATTCCTGAGTGTATGAGCCAGGAGTAATCCCTGTGCATCGCTGGGTGTGACCCAAAAAACACTGTAGCACTATCATCCTGCTGTTCATTGATTCGCTTGAGCAGGTGCCGGTAACGTCTCCATTGTGAGATTGTTGTTACTGTTTTTGGCATATCGAATACACCATGGGGAGCTTGCCAGGCTTTGCTGTGTGGGTGGGATACTCTCAGTAGTAGCTTGCTGGGCTCTCCGAGAACCAAAAAAGCAAATAAATAAATAAATAAATAAAAAGGAAAAAGTTTATGGATTCTCCCATTTCCGAACACACATACAAATGTATTTCCATAATTCTCCATACAATATCCAGAACTTAAACTGAGGTTATTCACTACTATGGTGAAAAATTCCTGCAATAAAATGATAAAATTTTGCTTCCAAACCATTAAGTTGATACTTTCTATTTTTTTTTTTTTTTGGCTTTTTGGGTCACACCCAACAATGCTCAAGGGTTACTCCTGGCTCTGCACTCAAGAATCACCCCTGGTGGTGCTTGGGGGACCATATTGAATGCTGGGAACCAAATCCGGGTCAGCCACATGCAAGGCAAACGTCTTACCCACTGTACTATCTCTCTGGCCCCAAGCTAATACATTCAAGATGAAGAGAAATTCAGTTCAATTTTCAAAATTACTAAGCGAAAGTCTGCCTCCCATCCTACCAAATACATACTCACCATGTTTTGGACTGAGAATAGGAAATGGATCTCCTAGTTTCCAGAAGAAATACATAAAGGTCAGCCATAAGAGACAGGAAAAAAGCAGCCGCCGTTTGTGCACTAAGAAAGAAAAGACAAGTCTGTAAGGGTAAATCCATTGTTAGATCTCCTTAAAGGCTTGGGAAAAGCGAATCATTGGAAGAGATCAACTGAACCAAGGGCAACGTGAGAGTACACACTGCAGAAACAAAAATAAAGTGGCGTCAATGGAGTCTTCCACTCAGTATTTATTTCATGCTGACCTCTTCAGATGCCAACTATCAACCCACAGCAGCAATATCCAAGAAAATCCTTCTCATCTATGCGCTGATATGAGGGGGCAAAATACTCACATAGTCGAATGTTGCTTACAATAAAAAAGCCAATGTAAAAAGGCACCATGAACACGAGGATCAGCAGGATGACACACAGGTTCATTTTCCAATGAAAATAACGGGAGCTGAAATGAATATCAAAGAAATCAGTGGGGACTGGGTAGAAAGCAGCTTTTTGTTTTTGGGTCACTCACAGTGATGCTGAGTGGTTATTCCTGGCTCTGTGCTCAGGGGACCATAAGGGATGCTGGGGATTGAATTGGATTGGCCGTGTGCAAGGCAAACTCCCTACCTGCTATAATATCGCTATGGCCCAAGAGCAGCAGCTTTCATCTTTCATTCTTTTTAGTCTTTCAAAAGATCTTGTTCTTTGAACTTAACAGCAACCACACCTCAAACAATTAGTCAATGAAATTGTGACTATCTAGGCTGCTGCAGAGATTAAGATCAAAATTCTGAGAAGTGTATATGATTATTTGGAATGCTGATACCAGTTGCATTCATAGGCAATATATATTAACATACACAGTCAGTGGTAGAATGGCTATTGCTTCACTTACCACTAAATATCTTATTCAAACAAAAGCACTTGTGCTGAAGATAGGACAGGGCTAAGGTGCTTGCTTGTGTGGAGTTGACCCTGGTGTGATCTCCCGCACCACATGGTCCCTGAGCGAGGTCCCCTGAGCACCCCTGCGAGTGATCCCAGAGCACAGAGACAGAAGTAGTTCCTAAGCACTGCCTAGTGTAGCCCCCAAACCCTACAAAGCCCTAAAAATGGATTAACAATCCCACAGCTGCCACCACATAAGCTCATTCATTGGCCTACTGTTATAGACTCATGATTAAATCTCAAAAGAGAAGTAAGCCAAGTCACAAAACCTCATGGATACAGTGGTTTCTGGCTGAAAACTCTGGGGTGCCTTCAGGAGTGGGGGTAGACTGAGTCCCTGCCCTGCGCCAGCAGCTGCATCCACAGAGTAGCCACCAAGCCAATGGCCCAACTCCACTGCTTCATGACTAATCTCTGCAGATGTGCCAAACGGCCCCAAATTCTAGATATGCCCGTTTTTTGGACTAAGAACTCTGGGGTTGTCTGAGAGTGCAGGCAGCTTCCCCCCAGTACTTCCAAAAGCCACAATAGTCACACCCACACCCCACAACTGCTGCCATGAAAACTCATAGCCCAGATACCTATTCTGGAGTCTCTAAAGAGTGTGGCTACATTTGAGGCCACACGACACCTCCAAACTCTACAATTCTGACATCCCAGTAGGAGCACACCAAATTAGATGGGAAAGTAACAGATGCCAGCTGAGCTCAATAAACAATAACACAGGAGGCTCAATGAGCAATGAACAGCTTAGTAAACCCTCAGACAGGACTCAATAACCCCATGGTGAGATATAACAATTTCTACAAATTTTCTTTTACTGAATTTTTTTTTTTTTTTGCTTTTTAGATCACACCCTGCGATGCACAGGGGTTACTCCTGGCGGTGCTCAGGGGACCATATGGGATGCTGGGAATTGAACCCGGGTTAGCTGCATGCAAGACAAATGCCCTGCCTGCTGTGCTATCTCTCCAGCCCCTACTGAAATTTTTTTTAATAATTTAATTAGCCATTTAGTTGTAACAAGCAATATAAAATTACTTTGTGCCTGTGAAGGGGGCAGGCTTGGAGGGTGGTTGGGGACCACTAAAATGGATAGTGGAGGGAAGGTCACAGTGGTGGTGGATTTAGTAAATAAAGACCCAGAAATACTTCTTTGGTATTATACTCAATTAAGCAAATGATTTATAGGACTACTTTCATTACTACATAGCACTGTAGCACTGCTGTTCATTGTTTTGCTTGAGTGGGCACCAGTAATATCTCCATTTGTCCCTGTTGCGTGCTAGTGTAGACCAATGGTGTCTGCTGGCTCCAGGAACACAAAGTGAGACTTGTTGTTACTGTTGTGTACTGGGCCCGCTCGAGCAAACTGATGAACAACGGGAGGACCGTGACTGTGACCGTGACCGTTTTTGGCATATCAAATACGCCACGGGTAGCTTGCCAGGCTCTGTCGTGTGGGCGGGGTACTATCGGTAGCTTGCTGGGCTCTCAGAGAAGGACAGAGGAATTAAACCCACCAAGGCAAATGCCCTACCCACTGTAATATTGCTCTAGCCCCAGGTGTGACTCATAAAGAAAAAAAAAAAAGAGAGGAACTTGCTATCCAAATGTATATAATAATAAATGCAAACTCTAACCTTTCCACATGAAACGAAGAAAATTTTAGCACACACATACCATTACTACATATCAAATACAATTTACTGATTGATTAAAGTGCACCTTTTAACTTTCATAACAATTCTCTCTATAGAATTCATCCATTGAAAGTGTCTACAGTTAAGTGGATTTACTGTACTCATGACGTTGTGTAACCATCGCCATCATCAATTCAGTAACATTCTCAGCTCGCCAACAATGCCTGAACCTCTCAGCAGTCACTCCTTTTCCTCCCAAACTCTCAGGTCCTATGCGACCACCAATAGGCTTTGTCTTTAGAAATGTGTCAATTCCGGACACACACAGAAATGGAATCACATCATATACTGCCTTACCAGTGATGCTGAGAGCCACCCAGACCACATCTGGTGTTAAAGAGCAACGCATGACCAGGAACAGAACCCGGGCTTAGCCCATAGCAGGCACATGCTCCAACAGTTGAACTGTGTGGTCATTTTTCATTGGCATTTTTGACTTGACATAATGTTTTCAAGGTTCATGCATGTTGTAACATGAATCAATTTTCCATTCCTTTTTATGACTACTGATTCTCTCTATACATGCTGCATTTTGTTTATAAATTCATGAGTGGATGGATATTTGCATCCGTAGCTAATAGCAAATTCATTAATCTTAGTTATCATAAATAGCTAAATTCCACAAAAGTATACAAATCCCTAAGTACATAGGTTTTGATTTTTCTTTAGGAATACCTTTAGGAGTGGAATTTTGGGCTCATGTAATTTCTAGAGGTAATTTTTTGAGAACTGCTATGGCTGCATCATTTCCACCCTCTCCAGCAGTTTATAAGGTCCCACGCTTTCTGCTCTCATCAACACTTTGCTTTTCCTTTCTGATTACAGTCACACGAGGGGTGTCAAATAGTATTGTGGTTTTGATTTTTTATTTGCTCAATGCTAATCATGCAAAGCATATTTTCACGTGCTTATTGGCCACTTGCATGCCTTAACTGGAGACAGGGCTAGTGAAATCTTTTATCAGTTTTTTATTTGGTGGGGAGATGTTAAGGGGGTCAGGGTATACCCTGCAGTGCACAAGGCTTAATCCTGGCTTTGTTTTCAGGGATCACTCCTGGTGGGGCTTGATAGCTGATAAGTGGTTAGTTCTGAGGATCAAATGAAGGTTGTCTGTGTGCAAGGCAAATATCTCACCGCCTTTGTTATCTATCAAGTTCCTATCCATTTTTCAATGATATTTTTACGTAATCGGTTTAAGATTCCTTATATATTCTAGATAAAATAAGATGCTTTATGCAGTCTTACCCCTTATGAGATATGTAATTTATAAAAATGCTTTTCTACTCCTGGGAGATCTATGCACTCTCTTGATGGTATCCTTTGAAACAATATATTTTATTACTTTTCTTTTCTTTTTTTTGGGTAGAAGCTATACTTAGCAGTTTGCGGGGGCCATGTGGTGTTAGGGATGAAATTCACACATATGAGAAATGTACTTTACCACCTGACCTATTCCTTGGCCTTGCGTTTATTAATTGATCTTCCTTAATTAAGACCTTCCTTATTTCAAAAAGGTCAAAAGGTCAAGTGTGTATGAAGATACATCAAACAGAAGTTGAAATAAGCTATAAGGAAATATGGAAAAAAGGAAAATACGATAAAAGATAGATAAGTACCAGGTAGGCCTGATGTCTATTATGAAAATGCATATTATGGCATTCTAGAAAATTGCAATGGGTGAATCATAGATTAAGATTTAGGTTTTCTAATGGACAAAGTGAAACAATTTTTTTTTTGGCCACACTGTTGGTGTCCAGGGATCAAATTGGGATCAGTCACAACTGGGGTTGCCAACATGCGAGGTTAAGTGCCTTGTCTCTGTACTATAACTCTGGCAACTGAAGAAGCAGTTTTCTTCTGTAGCATTAAAGCTTGATGCTTTCATAGAGAGCTTCAAAACTCATGCTTTCCTAAAAATTGTATAAGCTCTCAATACCCTACTATTGATCACTTTTTTCTTTAGAGTAGATTATTTTCTACTATAAAGACTCTGATATAGTAGTACTGAAAGCATTCTGCCCGCACGGCAGAGTCTGGAAAACTCCCCATGGCATACTCAATATGCTAAAAACCAGTAACAATGATGGGTCTCATTCTCCTGACCCTGAAAGAGCCTTGAATATGGCACTTTCTAAAATCTCAAGGGCTAGGACGAAGGAGACGTTACTGGTGTTTGCTCAAGGAAATCAATGAACAAAAGGATGATCGTGATTCATGATTCGTGATAGTAGGATAGTGAAATGAAATGATAGAAATGAATCAGTCAGAGAAATCATGTCTGTAAGAACAAGCTCAATTGCTTAAAGGAAGCATAATTTTATTCATTAATTACTACTGAATTATCGCTAAGATTCTAATAACATTTTTCTGAAGATTTCATAAAAAATGTGAGGGCAATGACATTATCCTTAGCAACATTTTTCCAAAAATAGGGAAGCAAACCACAACACCCCCCCCCCCCCCCAAAAAAAAACAACCCTACAAATTCAGTGAGTCTCAGGGGGCCATTTTTCACTTTTCCCCTAGTGGTATAGATGGCAGTAACTGTAAAACCATCAATACCATTTAAATATATTGATATCTTTTTGTGTGCCTGAACTAACTTCAGGAACAAGTAAGAGGCACATTTTCTAGGCATCTGTACTTGTTAGTTAAGCTTCTGAGAGGGGCAGTCAGGCAGTAGGTTTGAAATAACAAGTGTGATTACAAGTGCCATATATGTTGCCAATTAAGAGCAAACCACTTAAAGCCAGACAGCTAGTACAAGGGGCAGGGCACTTATCTTGCACGTGGTAAACCCCAGCTTGATCCCTGGCACCAAATAAGGTCACCTGAGCACCACCAGGAGTGCATAGAGCCAAGAGTAAGCCTCGAGCCCTGCCAGTTGTGCCCCAAAATCAAAAGCAAAAATCAGACGGAAATATCATAAAAGTGACTAAAAGTTATCTGAGGATTAAGGCATTTCTCATGAGAAAATTTAGGATTCTAAACTCAGGATTCTTATGTATTTGAGAGAGAAGGTCATATCACTTCTGCTCAGAAGTCAGGTCAGACGATATTCTTTCTCAGAGTCAAGATTCTCCCTTTAAAGCTATTCTGAATACATTCAATGTACAGACATAGGGGTACATGATTCATATTTCTGCTGCATAATAGTGCCGAATATTAACATGAAAAAATAGGTGTGACTGAAGACCTATCTCAGCTTACACAAATCCAGTCGCCACCAAAGTATCCAAACAACATAGCTGTAGGTTTACACCATGAACTAGTGAAGGAAGAGGCATCACAGTAACTGAGTGATGTGTCTTGCTATGTGGCATCACTAATCACAACTGAGTTCAAAGTCAAGGAACATCAATTCCCCAAACCAACAGCGTTGGTTTCAGACTACCTGAGCTATAATCCTGCCTACATTCCACAGACTGGGGGCAGTACCAAGGATGCCTGTTTCCGTAAGTTACATTTCTCTGGAACACAGTCACCCCATTTGTCTAGTGCCCACAGTAGCTTTCATCTTGACAACAGCAGAGATGAGTAGGTGAGACAGGGAAGGCATAGCTCACACAGTCCAAAATATTCATTGTTGATCCTTCACGGAAAAAAAAAAAGTCCATCGACCTGCACCTATCCAGCAATCAAACTTTTAGGTTGTGATAATAAAAGTTAATAACTGGCATGCTTTCTCACTTGCCTAATCCTATTTTTTTTGGGGGGGGGGTCACACCCAGCGATGCTCAGGGGCTACTCCTGGCTCTGCACTCAGGAATTACTTCTGGCAGTGCTTGGGGGAGCATATGGGATGCTGGGGATTGAACCTGGGTCGGCCGTGTGCAAGGCAAACGCTCTACCCATTACACTATCGCTCTGGCCCCATCCTCCCTATTTTGAAGAGTCATAGGTCTCTCTCTCTCTCTCTCTCTCTCTCTCTCTCTCTCTCTCTCTCTCTCTCTCTGTCCCTCTCTCTTTCTCTCTCTCTCTCCAAGCTTTTTGCGTTATACCCAGAGAAGCACAGGGGTTATTCCTGGCTCTGCACTCAGGAATTACTCCTGGCAGTGCTTGAGGGACCATATGGGATGCTGGGAATTGAATCTGGGTCAACCGTGTGCAAGGTGAATGCCCTACCCACTGCGCTACACTCCAATCCCAGGACTGTCTCTTAAACTCAAATGTTTGGATTATTAAAGAACAAATTTAAAAGTAGAACATAATGTTGTTTTACATTACTAGTGCTTAATATTATCTATCAAAAATTCGTGGTTTTTACAGGCGGAAGAGATAGCATAGAGGTAAAGTGCTTGCCTCGTCTGTGGCTGACCCAGGTTTGATCCTGGCAACCATGTACATGGTTTCCAAGCCCCCCAAAACCAAAACATACAAAACTAAAACCCCCCCCCCAAAAAAAACCCTGTAAGTTCAGCCTGATTATCAACAAAAGGAATTTGTGACTAGTTTATGTCTCTAGGGTCACATCTCTTAGTGGTTATAACTCTTAACTCAATAATGATTCCTGACTAGAGTCAAATCCCACTTTCTTTTAAAAAAACGAAATTTGGTTTGCTTGTTTGTGGCCATATCGGGTGGTAAACCCCATGTACCGCTCATTCAGGAATTTCTCCTGGTGGGGCTTGGGAGATCCTATGTGGTGTCAGGGATTGAGCTGGGTAAGCTATGGCAAGGCAGGCACCTTTCCTGTTGTGCTATAGCTCTGGCCCCACACTTTGTTTCTGAAAGGTTTTTCCATGCAGCAACTCAAAAAAAGCACAACAAAGTCTGAGAGAATAGCTAATGTACTCTACATAAACACTGGCTGCATAAAAACTTAAGCTGTGGTAATACGCGGGGGATGCTCTGAGTTGACTGTTTATGAAGTTAGCGTGTGTTGGAGAGGGAGGGGAAAAACCGCTTTGCAGAAGTGCTTGAAAGAAGAACTTCTCGAACTCTCTACATTTCTGACCACTTTTCACCTAAGCAGTGCTACACAGGCGAGTGCAGCCAGAAACACCTTGGGCTCATCACGTTTGATAGTGAATCATTTTTTTATCATGCTGCACGTGAAGCTTTTCACTGTTGCCAAATTTCTTGCAACCCCACCCTTCAGTGATGTGACCCCTGAGGGTCCCAGCTCTCTATGTCAGGAGCAAGGCTTTAACATTGCCTGGAATAATGGGAAGGGGTATTAGCTGGATATGATCATCGAACAGCTGAGAAAAATAAAACTGCTAGGAACAAAGTCTGGGACCAAGGCCCTCAGAGCTTCGATCACACAGTACTGCAGAAAGTAATACGACACTTTGCTGGGTATTTGGGGCCTATAATGGCTGTGATGATGACAGTTAAGACTAAGCAAATGACATGGTGAACTTTATTCAGCTAAGGGATCCAGGACTGTCTTGGAAAGTGGCAGTTCTCTTCAAGAGGAGAACCAACACCAACCTCACTCACCTGCTATTCAGTACGCCTAAGATCTCAAAGATGATGAGCTCAAACATGGTGCAAGAAAATGCGAAAGTGACAGAGAAGATCACCTGCACGACATATTGACGGACCTGCCAAAAGTCAGAGAGACCAAAAGTCACATCCTGTTTCAAACACTGAACCAATAATCTTCTGGCTAGATGCCAATGAACTAATTTGGAAGGAATCCTCAGGAGCAGCAATGGTAATTAGCCTGGTGCTAACGAAACAGATAAAAGTTGGTAATGCTTCTGAACCACGGATCATTATTACGACCACCTGCCTGTAGACGGAGAATCGAAGGCATCAGAAGATGAAGTCATAGGGTCAGAAATAGCACTTAAAAGTTCTTAGTGTACACAGATGGGGAAAAGAAAAGTAACAAAAATCACTTATATAGACTAATGTTCAAAGGTTTCCTTCAATATTCTGCAAATTTTAGATGAGTTCTGAAACCCTTTAGTCAAGGCTTGAGATAGGAATCAAACTAGCCTTCAGACATTGATAGTGATTAGGATGTAGGGCCGGCAACGGACATTAAAGGTCAGCTACTGAAATGAACTGGAACATTTCTGAGACATTATAAATTAAATTCTCTCCCGAAGAATAACTATCTCTGTTGTTGATATATACACTAATATGACTAAAGTCGACATTTATTGCTTCTGGACTCTGTATGAGTTGCTTCTTTTCTCTCTTGCTCTCTCTTTTTAAAATCAATTATGCCTAATTGTATATTCTCCAATTTAAGAATTATATAGTACTTATTTGGCAAATTTTCCTATCTTGGAAGCAAACATAATCTATTTATTTTTTGTTTCGTGGACTGGAACCTGGACTGTCTACACGTGTGGCAAATGTCTTATCCCCTGTGATCTTTAGTGAGGACATTTTTCTTCATTTTGTTCTTCATTTTCAGATAATCAAAAACAGGGGTCAGAGAAATAGTACAATGGGTAGACACTTGCTTTGAACATGGCTGACCCAGGTTTGTTGATCCCTGGCCCCTAATTCCCATGCCCTCAGAATACAATTGAAATCATACAGTATTAGCATAACACAGATGACTGCTTCTTACCTCGTAATCTTTAAATAGTTGGCGCATAAAGAAAAGCCATCCAAATCCAAAGAATAGTATCTGGAAGGGAAAGGAGACAGAATGTCAATATGCATAATCTTTTGAGAAATGCTAATAAGAGAGTTAATTCATTTTTTGGCAATCAGCTAATAAGAGAGTTAATTCATTTCAGAGACCGAAGATGAGATTCACTCATATTGTAAGGGCAAAACTGACGCCATGACAGGAGGCACAAATCAGCAAAATCAGCTAGGCTTTACGTTCAGTTGCAGGAACTAAAACAGTTTCAGTTTCCCAGCAATGAAATAATGTGTAACTAGCCAACCTGAAGCCCCCTGGAATGTTCCTGGGCCCAGTAAGTGGGCACGTGGGATCAATCAGTCACAATGTGCCAGAAACCATAGAGAATGTACCCAGCAACCACAAGCCTATCACAGTCCAACACATACCCTAGACTTTTGCCCATACACCTTTGTTCAGTAACTAAGATTTTTCTGAAACAATAAGGCATGTACTGCTTATATAATCAAACCCTATATAAACTGCTTGCACTTGAAGGTGACGGTCGGGTTGCTATCAAGAGACCACTCTGTGGGTGAGATAGTTATCAGAGTATACTGGAATAAAACTCCTACTGCTTTTGCATTATTGAGTTAGTGTCTCTCTCTCACCGCTTGGGAACCCATAATCCCAGGCTTAACAATATAAGATCTACTTACTAACGTCTTCAACAGTGGAAGCAGATGTTGAAATGCTCTTTTATTTTTGAAATTATCCATGCTGAAGAATGTGCTTCAAGCCAGACAAAAATTAAAGCCGTGGGGTTGGAGTACTAGTACAATGGGTAGGGTATTTGTCTTGTACGTGGCTGATTTGGGTTCAATCCTAGGATGATTCTACCCCATACGGTCTCTGAGCACTGTCAGAAGTGATCCCTGAGTGCAGAACCAGAAGGAACCCCTAAGCACCACCAAATGTGGCCCAAACTGCTCCCCCCACCAAATAAATAAAGCTGTATAGTTTCTCTAAATTATAGAATCATTTTATGAGCTGTGAAATTAGCAAAAAAAAAAAAATTGTCAGGAACAAGGTATCAAACTGCCAAATTTCTCCAGATAGATCCTATAACCAGGTTTAAAACTTTGTGGCCTTTATGGAATGGGGGCAGCAGAATCCCTTCCAGCGAGGCCAGCAGCTGCCACACCTGACCTCCTTGGCCAGATGAACGGGCCCAGTTCCACTGCTCCAGGACACCTATCCAAATTTCACAGTACTTACAGCCCAGCAGAAGCAGCAAATATGATGGGAAAGTTGAGTAGAAGCCCACCACTCAATGAGAAAAACAGTAACACAGAAGCTCAAGCAGCATCAACCAGCTCAGTAAATCTTCAGACAACGACATTAGGAACACCGCTGTGAGATATAACAGTCTTCACAAACTGACTTTTATTGATCTACCTTCTGATAATACAATTTGCTATTTTATTGCAACCAGGAACACAAATCAAATTTGTTGTGTGCCTTGGGAGGTGGGGACATTGATGGAGGGAAGGTCACACTGGTTGTGGGATTGGTGTTGGAGCATTACATGCCTGAAACAACTGTATTTCTTATGAACAACTGTGTAAATTACAGTGTTAGAATTAAAAAAAAAGAAAAATTAATTAGTGAAATTTGCTTCTTACAGATAAGCAGCAAGCTTATCCTGTCTCCAAGCATTTGTTTTTTCCCTTTTGGAGTTGAGGGGGAGTTAGGCCATACCCAGTAGTGCTCAGGGCTTATTCCTGGCCGGTTTCAGGGCCTTCATGTGGTGCCAGGAATCAAACTGTGTTTGGCTGTGTGAAAGGCGGTGTCTTCACCACTCTATTCTTTCCTTCATCCCTGTTTTAATAAGCATCTGAAAAAACTAAACATACCAACTTCATGGGAAAGGAATTAAAAAAGAAAGGCAGTAGAAGAAAGACTGATATTTTGTTTTCCTTCACTGAACTTTCCCTACCATCTTGGCTTCTGCCTCTGTGTAAAGCCAAGACACCACTGCAGGGAGCCACTTTGCCAGTTTTGGTCAAGTTGGCTTCAGAGATAGAGACCACATGACTGTCACTCTGTGTTCTAAGGCGGTATATTTTTTTTTACCAGTAAACAGAACCTTCTCTCTATACAATTCCTATATTGTTTCAGAAACTATCATCAGCTACTTGTTCCACTACTTTCATACTTTCCCCTCTCTGTTGCTCTCCTCAGAGCCCCCTTTGTATTTCAGGCAGGTGACATTGCTGTTTTTCTTTTCTTTTATGTTTTGTTTTGGGGCCATATCCAGTGATGCTCAGGGTTAACTCTGGGCTCTGTGGTCAGGGATCACTGCTGGTGGGGCTTAGGGGCCCATGTATAGTGGTAATCAAACCTGGGAAATTATGAAGGAAATTGAGCAGTAGCAGATTAAAATCAAGGGCAAAATCATTCAGCAAGCTGCAAATGCCCATAAATGTGTGGTATCTGTGACCCGCAGAGCTGTGAGGCACCACGGTAGCCTCCAGACTCTTGAATTCATAGTTGACACAGTACAGCAGTGGTTGAAGAGACTTTTATACACAGACAAAGAATTAAGAGGGGATGAGAAAGTAGTGTGGATTTATGAATTCAGAATGAATAGAAAGGAGAAAATATCTCTAGACAATCCTCTGGCTATTACAAATCATTACTAGTAGGCGCACTGCACTCAGAGTTCAGAGGTCACGTTTATGTACCTTATGTTAAGGCAAGGCTGAAGGTCAGCATTTAGGACTAATTGTGCTGTGCATAGTGGACATGAATGATTCTGTATCATCGAGATAATTACCCTGAAATGGGACTTTAGACAAAAAAAGGAAAAGCTGCCTGAGGAAGGGGAAAGGGAAGGAAAAGAGATAACTACCTTTCATAGCTTATTATGTCCTTTCACATAGAAAAAAAAAAGTTTAAACACATCTTTACAAGGTTAATATGAAAAAAAAAACAAGAATTCAAAATAAGAGGATTCTAGTACAAGATTTATGAGTTACCACAATACCAACATTCCAGTAGGAGCACACTGGGATTAGATTAGATTAGATGGCAATGTAATGTAGAAGCCAACTAACCTAGACTAACAAAATCATTTATACTGAGGATTTAACTAGCAACAACTGCTTAGTAAACTGTGAGACAAGGATTTAATGTCCCCATGGTGAGTTACAAAAATTTTCACAAATTTTCTTTTACTGAAATATTTTCTGATCAGTCCATTAGCCATTTAGTGGTAACAAGCAATATAAAATAAATTATTGTGGGGCTGCTCTGGGGGCAGGCTTGAGGGGTGGTTTGGAAAATGGTGACAATGATGGAGGGAAGGTGACAGTGGTGGTGGGATTAGTGTTGGAATATTGAATCTTGTAAAAAATAATCATGATTTTTAATTCTTTTTTTTTCTTTTGCTTTTAGGGTCAGACCTGGCAATGCTCAGGGGTTACTCCTGGCTCTGCACTCAGGAATTAGCTCTGGCAGTGCTCAGGGGACCATATGGGATGCTGGGGATCGAACCAAGGTCGGCCACATACAAGGCAAACATCTTACCCATTATACTATACCTCTGGCTCCTCGTCACGATTTTTAAATATGTAAAATCATAGTGTTTAGATAGAGTGGAAAAAAGATTTATGGCAAAATTACAGAGGATGTAAAATGCATGCAAATGCAAAAACTGTCCAATGTTGTGCAAATAAAATTCAAGGTGCACATTTTAATAATTAAAAATAGTATTTTATTTATTTTAGTTTTTGGGGCAATACCTGACAATGATCTGGGCTTACTTCTGATTCTGTGCTCAGGGATCACTCCCGGTGGGCTCCAGGAACCATATGGGGTGTTGGGGATAGAACCTGGGTCAGTCACTTCAAGGCAAAAGCTCTTTCCACTGTACTATTTCTTCAGGCCTAAAACAGAGTATTTTGGGGCCAGAGCATTTAGTACAGTGGGTAGGGCATTTGCTTTGCACGCGGCCGACCTGAGTTCAATCCCTGGCAATCCATATGGTCCCCCAAGCACTGCCGGGAGTTAATTCCTGACTAAAGAGCCAAAAGTAACCCCTGAGCTTTGCTGGGTGTGACCCCAAAAGCAAAAAAAAAAAAAAGGTACTTAAAGACCATTCAGAGTCTTGATCTTGGGACACAGCTGACTTGGGGACCGATAATTCTTTTGACTATAGCAAGCTGTAAAGGTGACTTAGATATCTGCTCTTATAAATATGATACTGACACTGAAAAACTAGCTATAAAAGGATATGGCTACAAGGCATTGACAGGAAAGGGTACTTTCCTTGGATCACTTCTTTACTCTTTCATTCATTTAACAAATATTTACACGCTTGGCACCGAAAACGTGCCAGGTCTTTGGGAGAGAACGAGGATATACACAGCGTATCTATTGCACAAAGCTTGGAAATTGCTTTCAAGGAACTTTATTATCTGTATGGAGATAAGCAAGGAATTAAAAATGAACGTGATGGTGCTCTTGCAGGAAGTGGGCAAAGGGCATTCTAGAACACCTGGTCCTGTGTGGGCAGTCGTCCCTGATGTGTATGCCGAGACTTATGGTTAAGTGGGAGTTAGCCGGGAAAAATGGTGGAATATGGGGAGAGATCTAGGAAGAGACGAGTAAGTCATCGGGCGTGACAAAACAAGAAAATAGAAAAAGGAATCACAATTCAAAGCTTCTGCGACCCTGGGATGTGGCTCAGTGGTAGGGGCCTTGCAGACTGCTAAGAGTTTTATCCCTGGAAGCTCCAGTGTCACAAATGCCCACGATCTTCCGCCCACTGCACCTCCTTGACGTGGGAACAGAGGCTGCAAGGGAAAGGGAAGCGCACATGTGCCCCCCCCCACACACACACTCACTCTCTCTCTTCACTTTAAAGTCCCTAAAGGCTCTACTTCTGTCACTTGCCGTTAGGAAAAAAAAAAAGTAGTAATAATTTTAAAGAATTACATCAAATTGTCAGATACATGAGGAAGGGCGGGGAGATCGGTAAATACGTGCTCGGTGGTGCAAATGCTTGAGGACTCCCCCCAGGAAAGAGGTTAAGAGGCGAGGTGCGCGTTCACGCCTCAGACCCTTCCCTAGGTATCTCCCTGGGGACACCCACAAGCTCCCTCCTTCTCCCCTAGAGCCCGGAAGCGACCCGGAAGCAGCCCCGCCCACGTGGCCCCTGGGCCCGCCCCGTCCCATCGGCGCAAGCGCAGTAGGCGCCGGGAGCCGCGAGCCTCCGGCGTTCGCGTCAGCCGTGCAGGTCTTAAGCCCTGGAGGAGTCGCGGAGGCCGCTCCCAGCGCCGAGGCTCCTACGAGCCCACCCGGGAGGGGAGCGCACCACGGGAGAACGCAGCTGGCAGCAGGGACACTGCCGCGGTCAGGGAGGGCGCAGGGACCTGGACGTGTACCCGGGGCAGGACGCGGCGGCTCACCTGGGACGTGATCATGATGCTGGAATCGATGAGGAAACTCATGACGAAGTGTAGGGAGGCCTTGTGCCGCCGCCACGTCCCGCAGCCGAGGGCACGCCGGGGCCATAGGCCCGCTCACATAGGCGGCCTTCGCCCGGGGGCCGCCACTGCCACCGCGGCGCCACAGAGCGACGCCATCAGCCTGCGCCCCCACCGACCAATCAGCTACTGCGCTGGGAGCTACCCGCGGCGGGGTGGGCGGGGCATGCGCTAGGCCTTGGTGGAGCCGTCCTGGGGGCGGGGCTTTGGAGCCAGATGAAATTCTGACCTGGACACACCGAGGCAAGGAATATCATGCAAGGAAGCGTTGCCATTTCTGAGACCCGGGGAGGTGGGGCCTGAGCTCCCATTTTTAGTGACAATTCCTTTTTGTAATGATGGTAGCTAAAATAGGATGAATGAGGGTAATTGTCATAAGTAAATCCCAAAGTTAGGCGTTGTGTGTTAAATGTAAAAATATATACCTGGTGGGGCTGGAGTGATAGTGTTAGGGCGTTAGCCTTGAACGCGGTCGACCCAGGTTCGATTCCCAGCATCCCATATGGTCCCTTGAGCACTGCCAGGAGTAATTCCTGAGTGCAAAGCCAGAAGTAACCCTGTGCATTGCCGAGTGTGACCCAAGAAAGCCAAATACATACATATGCATATATATACACACACACACACACACACATATATATATATATATATATATATATATATATATATATATGCCAACCTCAATTTAAAGTTGAGGGCAGACTGTAAAGGCAGGTGAGGCTTTGGTGAATAGACTTGTAACCAAGTAAAGGGCGGAGCGATAGCACAGCGGTAGGGCGTTTGCCTTGCACGCAGCCTACATGGCCGACCTGAGTTCGATTCCTCCTCCCCTCTCGGAGAGCCCAGCAAGCTACCGAGAGTATCGCGCCCCCACAGCAGAGCCTATGACGTATTCGATATGCCAAACACAGTAACAACAAAGTCTCCAATGGAGACGTTACTGGGCCCGCTCGAGCAAATCGATGAACAACGGGAGGGCCTTTACTATTTACTTTAACCAAGTAAAATTTGGATGTGCAAATAAAACTCAGAAGCTCGTTGTGCTTAGGTATCCTCGAGTCTGTATCTGGTGTGTTTGCATTATACTTTAAAGAGTCACACCTTGGCGCATTCTCAGAAGTAGGCCACCAGATGAGAACAATGAAAGGAACTGAAGAGAGAAGGCTATCTTGTAAAAGACTGGGTGGGTTTATAAGGGCCCAGGAGATACTTTTAGGAAAATGGTAGATTTAATTCAACACAAGGAATAATTCTGCAAAAGTTTGGAGATGGGTTAACTTAAGACATGCCACCTCTCCCGCTTTCTTGTAGCCCCTCAAACCATTCTTTCATCCATTGGTGAAAGCTCAGTGTTCTTCTGGGAGCTTCTTATGTCCTAGCTAGTTCTAGTTTGTGTAGTGTCTATTTGTCACAAACTGGCTCCAGCAAGGGAGTCAGCGGTGCAGGAGGGTGGGAGACAGCCTGCAAATGAGACATGGAAGGGGCCCTTTTCCAGGTGCTTGAAGCTCAGACTGCACAATGAGAGCCTAATGCATACATTCATTCCACAAAAGGGAAGGTCTATCTCTTAGAACTAATGCCAGCTGTGTGAAGCAACCAGAACTACCTAACAGATGCCCAGTGACCTGATTCAGAATGCCCTGTCTGCTGTGGGAGTCTGAAACTAGAAGACTATGGGCCTTGCTGCATGCATCAGGGAAACAGGTTGATCCTGTTTACACAGTGTGAGAGTGCAGAATGCTGGGAGAGTAAACGATTGACTTCGGTGTCTTGCTGGGGTGCTAGTGCACCTCGGGAGTTCAGTGAACCTGGCATAACTGAGGAGGGTATACAATCTTGCAAGTCCCTGGCCAGTGCAAAGCTTTCAGGAATCTTCCTGCCTTCACTCCTGTGTTCAAGGACAAGCTGGGCAACCCAATGAACTGTTAGACCCTGCTTTGAATTGCAGAGGGTGTCTTGAAGTCAGCCACATGCAGTTGATGTGCAGGTGGTTCTTTCAAGGCAGATCCCTACCCTGGAGATGCTGGCCCTTATCCCAGAATGTCCTGTCCACTCACATATCTCTCAGCTACTGTCTCCCAGTCTTCTGCAGAAGCCTCTGTCCCCTTCCACTGAGATCTGCTGCTACCTCCATTGCTGCCATTCCCCTGGTGTCCTTACTGAGCTCCACTGGTGTTGCAGTTCCCAGTCTTTGATTTCAGATCTACCAGCCATTGTTGAGGGTTCATCTAGACAATCATGGAGCAGGCTTTGTAGAGGTTACTTATAGCATGATGATGGATCTCTGCCTCTTGACTAATTTTTTCTTGTTTACTGCCCCTTTTCTTTCTCTTTTGGGTTTTGGGGCCATACTCAGGTGCTCAGGGCTTACTCCTGGGTCTGCACCCAGGGATCACTTCTGGGAGGCTCAAGGGACCTATAGTGTGCTGGGGATAAAACCTGGGTCAGCTGTGTGCAGGGCAAGTGCCCTACCTGCTGTACCATCTCCATCCACTAATAGTAACTGTTAGTATTTCCTCTCTCACCTTCCAGGACTACAAACACCCTGGCAGCTAACTCTGTTCCCACCCCCTCACCCCCATTCTCTAATTTATGTGAAGATTGAAACCAGAAGTTGGCACTGATACTGAATTCCTACCACTGCTTTCCTACTCATCCCTGTAGCAGCCTCCCATGATAGTGGCTGGATAACTACTGTGTGGGTTTTTTAAAAAAAAACTTTTAAATTTTAGACCTCATAATTTATACTGTTAAATTACTGTATAGTTTTATTATATAGTTTTATGCAACAATGTTCACCCTCCACCATATCCCTTAATCTTTTTTTTGCCTCTTGACTTTTTCAGCTTTTTTGATTCACATGCAATTGGGAATCTTTCGAAAGGTATGCTATCACCATTTCCATGATGTTCCTCTGCTTCCCTTCACATATGGCCATCAGCCTCCCTGGCTGTGTACTTTCACTGGAATCTTGAATAGCTCTCTCTGGTCAAGAAGCCCTGGCTTAGTTCCTCCCTCCCTCCTTCCCTCCCTCCCTCCTCCACTCCCCTCCTCTTCCTTCTTCCTTCCTTCCATCTTTCCCTCCCTCCCTCCCTCCCTCCCTCCCTCCCTCCCTGTAACATAATGGGGCCATGATCAGGAGGGCAGATTCTAGGCCATGCACTGACCAAGAGTACAGAAAAATAAAGGTACTTCTTTGTTTCAGAAAGACCCCCCCATCCCATCCCCCGCCCCCCTGCACCAAACTGTGACCAGACCTCAAGCTTTCCTAGTGCCCACAGAGAGTGTTTGGGGTCTTGTCTTCCTCTGATAGTGCCAGGGCAGTATCCCCACCTATAAAAGGAGTGATAAGAACAACTTTAAAACACGAGCTACAGTGGCCCAGAGGAAAGGTTGGGGCAATGCTGTGTCTCCCAGGGCTGGTGACTAAAATGAAACATGCCCAAATGTGTGAAAAGAGGCAAAGGAACCACAGAGATGAGTCGGGATCATAATCTAATTCCACAGAACAGCTGGGCTCACGAGTTAAAGCTGACCCTGCATAATGGGTGCTCTGAGGGCTTGTCTGCTTGTCTGCTGTTTGGCCCAGTGCTTTTAACATGATGCATTTCAAATTTAGTTAGCAACCTGAAACATACTGGGTTCTCTGAAAAGTCTGGATTCCATTTTCAACAATCAGATGGCCAGGCATCACTGCCTGGAAGTGTCACAAGCCCTGAGCCCCAATCTCTCAGGCATTGAACAGCCTCCCAGCACCACAGAGAACACCCAGTGTGCATTCAGTAGGCAGTTGAACTGGGGACCACCTTCCCCCACCTTTCCTATTGTATCTGGTGACATGTCTGCCAGGGTAGTACTGATATGAGAGGGGCTGTCTAAGATGGGTGGAGCCAAGAGGTTACCCCAGTCCTGATCAGAATTCCATAGAGACCTGGGATCTCCCAGGGCTGTTGGGAAAGGGAAGGGCAGGCTGGGAACTGAGGGATTCCATCTTAGAGCCCTGAGATCTGGGGGGCGGCAGCTTCTAAGATCTGCAGTGAACACGTGTCTCATTGGGGCTGGGGTGAAGGGGACCCAGTATAGTCTGTCTCATCTTGCCCTTTGTGGGCGGAGGTTCCCTCCTTTCAGCACTGGCACACTTATACGGTGAGGTCATCGGGTCTGGCCCTGCTGGTGGGGCTTGGCCTGCTTAGGTCCCCGGGGGCCTCCCCCTGTCTCAACTCAGAACTCAGCGAAGGTGGTGGCTTTGTAGCCTGCAGTTCTTCATCCTCACTCTCGGTCCCAGCCTCAGGGCTCTCCACCTCCCCCACCTCTGGTGCAACCAGGCTCTCTGACCCTTCCCCAGGCCCCTCCTCTGCTCTCCTGGCTCCCTGGAGCTCTGCCTGCTCTTCCCTGTCCTCCTGCAAAGGCAGCGTCTCCTGGCAAGCCTGGGACAGGTCCCCAAGGGCAGCTGGGCCCACCTTGTCCTCCAACTGAGCACAAGGTGCGGGTGAAAGTGGACTGGCCTCCACTGTCCCCACCTCGGTCAGGGGAAAGTAGTGGGACACGATTTTCTCCTCTTCCAGGAACCGGTAACCCTTGGCTTTCTGGACAGAGGAGATGGCCACGGAGTGCAGAGACTTCTCAGGGGCGGCCCCGGGGGACTGTGGCACTGGCCTCTTGAAGGCTCCCCAGACTCTCTTCAGGGCCAGATGGCCCAGCTCTGTGACATTGAGGAGGAGGGACACGGAGGCCACTGACAGCATGAAGAGGACGAAGATGGTTTTCTCCGTGGGCCGGGACACGAAGCAGTCTACCACGTTGGGACAGGGCCACTGGCTGCAGCGATAGAGGGCCAGGACACGGAAGCCATAGAGCAAGTAGTGGCCCACCACGAAGGCCACCTCAAAGAGGGTCTTGAAGATGACGTGGCAGACGTAGGTCCTCAGCAGGGTCCCCTCCAGCCGCAGCCTCGGGGCTCCTCTGCTGCTCTGGCCCTGATGCTTTTGCTGGGCACGGAGCAGGTGCAACGCGTGCCCCACGAGCACCAGCGATGGTGCCGACACGAAGATGATCTGCAGGACCCACAGGCGCACGTGGGAGATGGGGAAGGCAGCGTCGTAGCACACGTTCTCGCAGCCTGGTTGCTGCGTGTTGCACACGAAGTCGGCCTGC